TCTTGTTCACCTTGGATGATGATGGTCTCTACAACGATCCTGTTGTTCCATTAGTCGCGCGGATGGAGTGGTCGAAAGATATAGACTTCCTACTTTCTGATCAGTTGCTAATTGAGAGAGCTCCAATGTACTGTGGTGAGACAGCAGCGAGAGTGGTACGGGCGATGGGCAAAATCGCCATTCTTTATATCCTGATTGCCGCAGACATTGTGGGGTCCATCACCCCGAGTTCTGGCCATATGAAGAAATGGAAAGATCATATCACAGGCCAGGCTCGCAACGTTGCGGAAGGTAAAGAAACTATCTTCGCAGGGTCCCAGGAATGGGTGTTTATGGGAGCCGACAAGAGAAAAGACCTCATTCGTGAGACCTTGGAGGATATCAAGCCCATACCACAAGAATGGACCGTCCTCCCCACAATGCTTCAGCGGGTCTATGAGAACTGTGAGCAGTTTTTGCTCGGTATAGTCTCTCCACTAGATGTCTTCCTCGAGGACAACATACTCGAAAGGTATTATGCTGTCACCCCGCCACAACAGACGAAAGACTTCCTGTACTTGCTGGGCAAAACAAACCCTGGACTTCGTATCCTCGAAGTTGGAGCGGGGACTGGATGCGCCACTTCTGAAGCACTGAAATATCTCCAGACGCCGGATGGTGTTCGACTCTACTCGTCATACACGTTTACTGACATAACACCTGGCTTTTTTGCCACTGCCGCGGACAAGTTCAAGGACTATAGTGGCCTCGATTTCAGAACTCTCGATATCACCAAACCACCCGCCGAGCAAGGATTTGAGCTACATAGCTTTGACCTGGTCATCGCATCTAACGTCTGTTTCTCTCCACTCCGTTACCTCCACATGTACATCTCATTGCTCGGTTCTCACAACACAATGTCTGAACAGGCTTTGCATGTTACTCCGATACTTCAGACCTCGTTGAAAAGTGTGCACGACCTCCTACGTCCAAATGGGCGTTTGTTGCTACATGAGCTTGACCCCAGTAAGTGATTGTGTTTGCCCATTGATACCCTTCAATAGTACTGACTGTCCCATTAGCAATCTGGATCATAGACTTTTTGATGGTATGTACTTGAGATTGTTAAGCTCAAATGCGTGCTCCTGTGGAGCATCTCGGCTAATGATTTCTTACCCGATCAGGGAGTATTCCCTGGATGGTGGCTCGGAGAAGAGGCAGATAGGCAACAGAGACCGTACGTATCGCCTGGGAGATGGGATATAGAGCTCAAGCAAGCAGGTTTTACCGGGAGTGAGGCTGCAGTCTACGACAATCAACGCCCATTCCACACGAACTTTACCATGCTATCGAGACCTTTAGAGTGCAAAACGATACAACGGGGCTCGGTGCATCTTCTGCGCAGTGGGCCTGAGGGCATCTGGGCACAGGGCCTGCGTAGATGTCTTGTGCAGAATGGCTACTGTGTGACCTCTGGTGGCATGGGAGAAGAGTATCCTAGTGGCGCTCTTGTTGTTTCTCTCCTCGATCATGACGAACCTTTCTTATACAACATCACAGATGAAGCCTTTGGGTTACTGCGAGACGTTGTCCAGAACATTGGTGGAGGTGCGATACTCTGGCTTACGCATCCATCCCATTTGAGCTGCCCGGACCCTCGTTTCGGTCTCGTCCATGGCTTTGCACGCACCATGCAACAGGAGAACGATATATCTTTCGCCGTGTTTGAGATTGATTGTTTTAACTTCAAAGCATACTCATATATTTTGCGCTTGATCGAGAAGATGGGGCAGGCAAAACAACTCTCTTGTCTAAGCATCGACCTGGAGTATGCTCTGCATCAAGGCGACGTGTATGTCAGTCGTTGTCATTGGCCTGTGAAAAACACCTCGATATCCCCAATGGAGGAAAAGAATAACATGTGCAAGAAGCTCGATATATCTGCATATGGCCTCTTGGATACCCTGCATTGGTGTGATACGATCAACCCCTCGCTAGGAGACGATGAAGTTGAAATTGACGTCCGTTACGTTGGATTGAATTTTAGGGTACAAGGATTCTTACCAACCTGCTCTTTGGTACTTGCTCACAGTTGTACAGGATCTGATGGTTGCCATGGGGCTGGTTGGTGACCGGCGTAGTTTAGGATTCGAAGCGGTTGGTGTCGTCCACCAGGTTGGGCCGCAAGTGTATGGGTTTCAGTCCGGAGACAGAATATGCTTTACTCAGAACGGGCTCTTTGCGACAAGAGCTGTGGCCAATCAAAGTTACTGCGTGAAATTACCAGATGAACTGGCCATGGAAGATGCATCCACTATGCTGTCGGTTTACGCCACTGCAATATACTCTTTCCTCCGCGTTGGGGCGCTTCAGGCTGGCCAGGTGCGTTGATTATGCTTAAACATTATATGAAGATCATCACACTGAGGAATGCAGAGCGTTCTAATTCATTCGGCATGCGGAGGTGTCGGACAAGCTGCTGTTCATGTTTGTCGAGCTTTGGGGGCAAAGGTGAGAATGCGTACCTCATCATGGGCGATGCTACTAACATGACGTCTAGATCTATGCCACGGTCGGAAACGAAGAAAAGGTGCAGTATCTGGTTGATCATTTCGGTTTTAGCCGATCAAACATCTTCCACTCAAGAGACGAATCATTTCTGGACGACCTGATGCGCGAGACGAACGGGCGCGGCGTTGACATCGTCCTCAACTCGTTGGCAGGAAAACTCCTTCATGCCTCATGGAGATGTGTTGCTCCATACGGCAAGATGATCGAACTCGGAAAACGAGACTTTCTGACAAACGGCATTCTTGATATGGCGCCATTCCTCGCAAATCGTGCTTTTGTGGGCGTAGATATGCTAGAGCTTGGTCAACAAGATCTAAACACGTGGGAATGGTGGGTGGCAGTCGATTGATCTCTGGCTCTGTCACGTTTGTTATGCTGATGAAGTTACAGGTTGACCCAGCAATTCAAGGCTTGGTATGAAGAGGGTAAGATCAAACCCATTCATCCCATCAGAATTTTCGAGGCTGCAGAAGTCTCGAGTGCATTTCGGTATATACAGAAGGGTTCCCATATCGGCAAGATCTTGGTCAAGATGCCCGGTTCGCCGGATGAGCTCCCATCTGCACCCGCTCCCTCGGCCTATAGCTTCTCTCCCACTGCATCTTATCTATTGGTTGGTGGGCTTGGCGGGCTCGGGCGCTCTGTGTCAAATTGGATGGTTGAGCGAGGTGCTCGCGAGATTGTTTATCTCTCTCCCTCCGCTGGCCAGTCAGAGAGCAATCGCCTCTTCGGTGAAGAACTCAGACTCCAGGGCTGTGAGGCTATATTCGTCTCCGGAAACGTGGCGGTGCTTGAAGACGTACAGAAGGCGATTACGAGATGCACGAAGCCTTTGGCAGGAGTCATGCTCTTGTCTATGGTCCTACGAGTAAGTGGGCACACCCAAGCTTGGATCATAAACATCCTGATTGACTCTGCAGGATCAAACCTATTCCAAGATGAGCTACGAGGACTGGACCACATGCCTAGACCCCAAGGTGCAAGGGGCCTGGAACCTACACCATGCTGTCCAGGATCAAGGTCTCGACTTTTTCGTCGTGTTCAGCTCTATATCCGCGGTCAATGGCTTCACAGGCCAGGCCAATTATGCCGCCGCCAACTCATTCTTGTCGGCTTTCACTAAATATCGTCGACAGCTTGGTCTAGCGTCGTCCATTCTCGATCTCGGCCCGGTCGAAGACGTGGGTACGCTCAGAACCAACGCGAAATATCTCCACACTCTGCGCCGCAACGGCATCCGCATGCTGAACGAGCAGGAAGTCCTCCAAGGCCTCGAAGTCGCGATCTGGCAATCCGTCAGCCACGATGACGATCTTACCAGTCAGAATTTGATTTCCAATCCGGCCATCGTCGGCCTCGGCAGCACCAAGCCCATCACCGACTCCACGATCCGGACAACCTGGCGCCGAGAAGACCCCCGTTTCGCGCTGTACGCGAACATGGACCTGAAGGGGTCGCGGCATGGGGTCGAGAACAACGAGCTGCGGACGATCGCGGACGCGATCCAACGCGATCCGTCGTTAGCCGATGACCCGCGGACAAGAAAAATGATCATCCTCGAGATGGGCAGGATGATCCTTCCGCAGATCGCGTCGGAAGACGAGGCTGCGCAGGTGCAGTGCGAGAGTATCAAGATCGATTCCCTTATGGCTATTGAGATTAAGGCGTGGGCGCGACGGGCGTTGACCTTGGATGTTAGTCTGGTGGATATCGGCAAGGCGGCCACCGTGGGCGGGCTGGCGGTTCTGTGTCTTGAGCACCTGAAGGCTCGGTATGAGAAGGGGTAGGTAGGCCGGGGATCGATATAGTGACTACTTATTTGTGGTGGCTGATTGGGGCTATGTTTGGACTTTCGGGTAGTATTTTGTTCGGTTGAAGGTGAATTACTAGATTGAATAACGTCTCTTTTTTGTGTGTGTTGTGTGCTCTGGTTATTTACTTTGTATCTTCGACAACATTACTGGTCAGGTAGTGGATCTGTGTAAGAAGCGAAGGTACGAGTACTAAAGCATAGACGGTATAAAAAGTCTTCTTAGATCGAGTACCTCGTCTACAATGTGCATCCGGTCTTCAAGACTACGCTTCCCATATGGTGCTCTTCCTCGCTTTCTTGCTAGACGAAACAAAAAGGAAATGGCATCGACATATTCAATCATCGAATCTTAAATTCCTTCAATGGATGAGCAGGTTAAAATAAAATAAAGCCAAGGTTTCCCCAAACCCTGTGCACTCCTCAAAGCCTCCAGAACCGGCAGATGAGGTACAAGACATTCAACCTTGTGAGGATTATTGGCGGAAGCAGAAGAACAGCATTCGATCTTAATAAAAGCTAGATACATCAGGTAGTCCTCGGCCTCACAGGGCCTTGTAATACCCGTGGCGGTGTAAAAATGCAGAAACCATGCTAGCTGCGTCGAATGCTAAAGCGATTCGAGCGACCATAGGAGCGGGTAAAGATCAGAATAAGAAATAGTAAGCGAGGGTCAAGTGGTTACAGCTCATTCCTTGACCCCCTTGAAGGGAACATTTTCCTTCTTTGGGGGCGATGAGGATGGGGCAGGATGTAAGAGACGATTGATGTCGAGGGGTGGACGAGGGTTCTCGGCGATGAGACAATATCCTTCCACTCGATGCAACTAATAATACACCGAGAAAGCAGACCGCATAATGAGAGACATGGGAGCTGGGGAACTTAGGTCTTATTGTGTCGACCTGGATGGTGGAGCAAGGGGCACGGAGTCTCGATATTCTTTCTCCTTCGGCGCAGTCATCAAGTAATCAAGCGTTTATCGCAAAGCTCCAGGCTATGGGCTGCGTCGGGATATGCGGTCAAGTAGAGTTCTGAAGTCTGGTGGTATCACAATGGCCATGCGAAGTTGCCTGGTGCCCTTGAAGGGCGTAGTCCAGATGGCGGGGTGTCTACGGTTCTGCGCTTTTGCAAGGATGTCATTCGAGAAATGGCAGGCTGCGATGGCACCGAAAGTCAACAGCACTTGGGTTCAACACCAAGTGATAACAAAGGAGAACCTTGGCCTCTATATGGCCTTCGGGTGCACCGTAAAGATCTGTGGAAATGCTGGGCAAGCCGATTATCCAGCAGCTAACATGTTCTTTGACCGTCCACTCAATATGAAAGCTAGAAGATGCTTCTGTCTTCGGTCCTAGATTTCGACACTGTGGGTGATATCGGGCTCATCAATGAGATGCCTATCACCATGCAAGCAAGCCATGAGCTCGGCGAGAATCTGGTTGTTGGACGAGGGGGCACGTACTTGAGATATTTCAGCAAACCGTCCTGGGATCGCACTCCCATTCCGGTTCAGCACCAACCTCCAATATCTGGGGAACGCCAACTGCTGCGCCCGTGATCGCTGGACTGGGGAACAGCAGGCCCATGGCGGACCCTAGCGTGCGGCCGATGTGGTCTGCCGAAGCCATGTTCTCTATCTACCCACACATTGAACATAAGAGTTCATATGGGTGATCAATTCGGTGATCGCCAGGGGAATGAGAAACTGAATGAGGCGGAACTTGGGTCTCGACGTCTCCTTGCCGCAGATTTCCAAGAGCAAGACTATTGGGAGCCTGATTGATCTGACCATCGAGCAACTTCAGGCGAAATTGGCGGGCGGTACTGATGCAAAAAGAGAATCCGTTCATTAGGATAGAAGCATTGGTGGGGTGAGAGAAGCTACATGGTTCATTCAGACTGACATGGCGGATTCTCGATGGGTTCTGGGATAATTGTCGAATTGATAGTGGGCCGCCCATTTATCACCTTGCTTCTTTGCTTCCTTCCTTTCTTCCTTCTTGGGTGTAGTTGTCTTGTTCTCTGAGTGGGAGCTTCACCGAAGTTCGGCGAAACTTGGAAGTGGCAGAAAAAAGAAACACAAAAAAGCAAGGCCCGAGCCGCGGATCGAACGCGGGACCTCTCGCAGATATGCTTGGGTTTGGAATCCCTAAGCGAGAATCATACCACTAGACCACCCGGGCTTGTCATGTGATTTGCAAACTTCCAAAGCATTATGCTGACATGACCAAGAAAATGGACGAGACTAATCGTGTTATTTCGATCACTACCTAGTAGTGCTTGAACCATCTGATTCATATTTCCGGTAAGAGTTTTTCTCCAAGTCAGCCTTGTATTTGAATTGAAGTAGAAGGTTGTGTTTACTTGGGGTTTGTATCTTTTCCTATGTTTCCTGGCGTCCGGGTATGTAATATGTTTGGGCTTTCCTACTGAACGCGACGAATAAGGTAGTGTATCGATAGTCGATGGATTTAGCAGCACCTTTAGACCACAAGACATGAGAGAGGATTAGTCGTAAGTGTCGGCACTAAGTCGCAGGAAAAGCTAGCAGCCATCCGGCTGAGCTCCCATATTATACATTATCTATCTACGATCTATGTCTGTCTATCTAGCATTCACCACGAGAGAATCTCACCTGAGAGAGGAGCAACTCGCGAGCTCTTCATCTATCCCGAGAGTGAACTCAATCACTTCATCATAACCCGGAACCCACCCTCCATCCCAACATCCAACTCCAGAAACTCCGCCGCCAGTCCCAAATGATCCACACCCCAGAACCCCTCCTTCTCCCCGGCAGGACTTGTGCACGCCAGCCACGGCAATCCAAAAGCCCCCTCCTCAATCGCTCGATGCGTATTCGCCTCTAACAGAGTCTTGCCTTCAGTTTGTTTCTCCTGCGAAAGTCAGAATACATCCTATCTATTCCCCTAGCTTTGGGTCCTTCTAGGAGAGAATGGACTAGAGAACATACCCCATCCAGCAGCCCCTCCACCACATCGTCGCTCAACACCTCTTCGAGGACCTTTTTGTACCTCTCAGAGTCCGTAACAGAAGCCGAGTCACCGTCCGCCCAGACAAAGGTATACAGTCGCTCCACTATCTCGACCACTTTCTCCGGATGGGACACAGCAACGAGTGCAAGGAGAGATTGGATATCTGTAGTCGGGAAGGGGAAACCCGTGGGCACGGCTTGGGTCATGGGAATGTTGAGACGACGGGACCAGGCGAGGCGGTGGCGGTTGATGTAGGTTAGTTTGTCTGGGTTGATTTTCATTGTTAGCTTGGTGTGGTTGCGGTGGGTGCGTGATGTTGGGCGTTGGTTGAGGCGGGAGATATATACTTTTGACCGCGATCGGTGGGGGGTTTCCGCAGGTGGTGAGGATGGTGCGCAATGAGACGGGGGTGTAGGTTATTTTGCAGGATTGGAAGATTGGGGACTTCTGGGTTGGGGCTCTGTTAGTGGATTGGGCGATGATGGATTCGAGAGTGGTGCTATACCTTCAGAACTTGGAATGCGATGTAGCTGAATGGGCTGACGAGGTCGAAGTAGAGGGTAATCTCGGGGGTGGGTGGGTGAGTGGCCATTGTGGTCGGGTGACTTGTTTGATAGAAGTAGTAGATGCTTGATGCTCTATTATGATTTTTTCGATCCTAAGAGGGCAATAAAGGTAGTTTCTGAGTTTATATAGATGATCGAAGTATACCATGTGGCTGCTGTGGCTGGAGTGAGCCTTGGAGCCTGGTCGGTGACTCAGGCACGCAACTCAACTGGTTGAGACGCGGCTTGTCGGCCCCAACCTAAACCTGGGATTCCCTACCGCTCTGGGAAACGCTGAGGCCGCCCACCCATTCTGCCGCTCAACCGCGATTTTTGATTATTCTATCATTCCGACTGGTTGGCTCAACTGTTTGCGTGTGCTTTTGACTTGGCATTCTTGCCTTGGACTGTTTGCATTCGAGTATTCTTATCAGTTGCAGTGCTTCTGAAATCTCTGTAGCTCTATTGTACTATGTAAAAATCAATGTCTACGGTCACTGTGATGTTCAGCCTCAGGCACGAATGAGGCAGCGACCCGATCCGCTGCATCAGGTCAATCCGGCTCCAGGGCGGGATATCCTGTACGTGCCGCTTGGGACATCTGTTCAAAGGTACCAGCCAAGCTTCGATCTGCAGTCGCACATGAACCAGATCATACCGTTGGCACCAAAGCTGACAGTCAAGCTTTTCTTGTTTCCTTGATATCAACTGGACATATCACGCATGGTTGGTCGACGCATGTAGACTGAGGTGCTGCGCAAGTCAATGGTACTTGAAATACCTTGCGACTGGTGGCCTCTCGAGCCTGGAGTATGTAGATAGGGACTTCCTTTGCCGCATTTGCACGGGACTGGCATAAGTCTCATCATTGGAGAAAGTGTATATCACCAGTACGGGCATATGCAAGCTTGTCCTCTTTTTATTAGGTGTACGATAAACTTGATTGATTTCAGAGCGATCAGACTGGCTTCCTAAGTACTTTCCCTCAGTTTTCGAGTGTGGGCAATTGGCCCCATTATGCTACAATACCCGAAGCAGTTCAGGAACAGTGTCACTGTCATACATGGTTCGATGATTGTGGCACTACTTTGCGAAGAATCTATGGTACAATGAACTTCGATTGCATCTACTGGTGCGATTTAAGAGGTATATAGTCAATGCGCCGAGTCAGAGGAACAGTCAGGAATGGGTAATTATTGATGGGGTGTTATGCTATTGCTGCTTTTTAGCTTCAATGCTCAGGCAAGATCACGGGCATGGCATTGTGCATCACTGTTCCTCTACCCAAGATTAGCACGAAGAAGCAGTCATGTCTCAGAGGGAAAGGAGAAAGATGGTACCGGAATGTTTGGCTGACACTATATCTCCTAGTATTGTCTAATTTATCCCGTTGAAGGCCTGAATGGTTGGGGCGAAAGTGCCTGAGCAACAAAGGTGTAGGATAGACATGTGGTGGGTCACGGGTCTACATGACTTCCCTTTCCGTCACTTCCGTAAACAACTTCAACCCCTTCATCTACTGCCGCCGAACTGAGAGCGCGATCCTCTTCAGGTCTCCACAGGCCCTCTTTTGCTCAGCTCGGCGAGCTCTCATCGAGCATGATACTGCTGTTGTTACCCCGCTGCTGAGATCATACCCATCTCACGCGCCTATCCCATTTAGCACCATTGGTTTCAACTACATGGCTTTTGACCCCCAAGACGGGCGTACTTCTCCTATCTTGATGGCTGTATCCCAACCTCAGGGATAAAAGTTCTCTATCCTTATATATCTCTCTTATTGGGCTATTTGCAAGTGCGACTCTGCAGGTGGACTCGTGCCGGGTGTATGGATATGTCCACGTCAGCTTGTCAAACTCCGTAAATTGACCTGGCTTGGCAGCAAGTAAGTATTAGTTCTTGCAGACTGACTAAATCTTATCAACAAGTGACTAAAGCCTGGAATCGATTGTAGGTGAATGCTCGGGCCCAGTCATTAATCGACATCCATCATCCGTCGTATTCGCTCTCTCGGATATACGTCAGCTCATATTAAACCCCGCACGTAGTATCAGGGTATCGGAACATTGGCGCCGAAAATGGCCATGCCATCCATCCAATATCGCACAAATGAGAATCAGGAGGTGCAACGGAGGATAGCTGCTCTGGGTTTATTGCTGTCCCATCCGAAAGACCCATAGGTGCAATATGCGTGATATGAAATGCAGAATCCTTTCCGGGACACGGTCTCAATATGCCGACGATGCCAAGAAACGTGGAAAATCGCGACTGGTACAGGATTGGGTCAAGCGAGAGGGGTAGCCTGGGGAGGCGCGTCAACGCCTGATGCTTGACCAGAACTCAAACTTCACCCCCCAATGAATCAAACTCTCTGCCGGTGCTCCCGTGAAGGTACTCGTGGAAAAAGTGTCCAAGGTGTGCCATGTTGCGGAAGTGGTGTTCTGCAGCCACGGCCCATGCGCAGCTTGCACGAGATTTCCGGTGCTTGATTCCGAAATCCCGCCAATCAGGAAATTCAAGAACTTCCTTTTTGTTTCAGGGGGGGTGCGAACATGGACAGGGGCAGATTCGGCGCTTTGACACGGACATTGTCCGAATTCGCCATGTGCAACAGCATTGGATCTTGGGAGCACTGGATTAATTCAGTGTGATATCGATCACTCTGGGCATGCGTTCACAAAGGAGGTCGAGTTATGAACCTGTTTCTGTTCCAAACAAGACCCTGTTACACTGTTGAAGCCACCCCTGGATGCCCCCACAAGCCGACCGTCGGGGATCGGCGTTTGTGAGCAGCCCTAAAGCTCTCCTGTTTCGGATCTGAAGTGGGTCGGCCCTCCAATTCACCACACCTTGTATTGACCCATCGACTATCCATGCCCGCGTCGTGTTTGTCATTAAGCTTAATCATTGGAGGTTAAAAGTTAATATTAATCAGAGACAGGGATTGCTATGATTGCACCAATTTAAATGAAGCACCCACCGGGAACGGAGAAGACTGGGCGGTGATAGGATCCACTAGCCTTGAGAAGCATTAGAAGCTTCCTCGAACGCCTCCACCGGACTCTAGCCGCCGGTCGACTTGCCTGAATCTTCCTAGTGATTTCAGATATAGTTATCTTTATTCGACTGGGGTCTGCAGACATCCCGCTGCAAAACCCACCCCAGTCTCCTGACGGATATGAGACAAATACCGACCCAAGAGGGAAATGGCGCACTCAGACAAGCAAGCAGGCTGCTGAACGCAACGTATAAAAGGTCTTTCGTCTCTCTGCGTTCAACCTTACCTCGCCGATCCAGTCGATCATACACTCATATCAATCGCAAAAATGGTTAAATCAGTCTTGGCTTCCGCTCTCTTCGCCGTGTCCGCACTGGCTGCCAGCCGTACCACGGCTCCCTCCGGCGCGATCGTCGTCGCCAAGTCTGGTGGTGACTATACCACTGTGAGGATGTCCGCATGAGTTATGCACAAGGCACGATACTGATATACCCACAGATTGGTGATGCCATTGATGCTCTGAGCACCAGCACCACCGACACCCAAACCATTTTCATCGAGGAGGGTACCTACGATGAGCAGGTCTACCTGCCTGCTATGACCGGCAAGGTCATCATCTACGGTCAAACCGAGAAGTACGTTGGGTAAATGCCTCTGATTAGCATCGTGCTGACAATTGTTTAGCACCGACTCCTACGCCGACAACCTGGTCACCATCACCCACGCCATCAGCTACGAGGATGCTGGTGAGAGCGATGATCTGACTGGTAAGCCTCACTGGATGAGACTGATAATCGGTGACTAACAAGAACAGCTACCTTCCGCAACAAGGCTGTCGGCTCTCAGGTCTACAACCTCAACATTGCCAACACCTGTGGTCAGGCTTGCCACCAGGCTTTGGCCTTGTCCGCCTGGGCTGACCAGCAGGGTTACTACGGCTGCAACTTCACTGGTTACCAGGATACCCTCCTCGCTCAGACCGGTAACCAGCTCTACATCAACTCCTACATTGAGGGTGCTGTGTAAGTGATTGCCGGTCCTTGGACGAAGCCAACACTAACCCGGCTAGCGACTTCATCTTTGGCCAGCACGCTCGTGCTTGGTTCCAGAACGTCGACATCCGTGTCGTTGAGGGTCCTACCTCTGCCTCCATCACCGCCAACGGCCGCTCCTCCGAGACTGACACCTCCTACTACGTGATCAACAAGTCGACCGTTGCTGCTAAGGAGGGCGACGACGTTGCCGAAGGCACCTACTACCTTGGTACGATTACTTGCCTATCTTGCGCTTCGCACTTTAGAGACAATACTAACATGGGTACAGGCCGCCCCTGGTCCGAGTACGCCCGTGTCGTCTTCCAGCAGACCAGCATGACCAACGTCATCAACTCCCTCGGCTGGACTGAGTGGTCCACCTCCACCCCTAACACCGAGTACGTCACCTTCGGCGAGTACGCCAACACCGGCGCCGGCTCCGAGGGCACCCGCGCCAGCTTCGCCGAGAAGCTGGATGCCAAGCTCACCATCACGGATATCCTGGGCTCTGACTACACCAGCTGGGTCGATACCTCCTACTTCTAAGCTGGACGCATGAGTAGTTGTTAAGAATGCGTGAGATGGCTGTCAACCAACAGCAGAGCTGACCGTATGCGGTGCATATACTTTTCTCTTCGTCAAATAATTTCCCTTTGATAAAGCAATTTAATTGGCATGCACAGTCCATGCTTGACACAATCTTGGCTCAACCCGTATCGTAAACATACCATACATGCGATCTCATGCACATGGCAGCATGGTTGATGGCGTCTACACGATATCAGACAACCTTAGGTCGAGCAACTCCATAAGCGGTATCGTCTCCCCCATCACCCCGTATAGCTCCCACAGTCGCCTCATCGCCTCAATGCTCACTTGGGTCCCAGATCCCTCATTCCCAGTACGAGCCGCCAGGTATATGCCCAGCCCCGAGCTATCAATGCTGTAGCACGCTTCATTAAAGCTGGATACGGGAAATTCGTCCCCATCCGCCGCTAGTCGTTCATCCTCGACTCTGATGAAGTATCCGATCCCGTGTTCGTGGCCGACGGTGATCTTGATTGGTCCTTGTTTGAATTCGTGATACATCTTTTGGGTCCGTTCTTTGCAATGTTTCGTTCTCTCTCCCTCTTCCTCTGCTTTTGGGTTAAACCGACGAAAGTATGTTGTTAAGGTGTTTTCGGTAAGAGATATCAACGTACGATTTAGAGATAGATAGTCAGCACCGATGTCTGGGATATGGTGGATTTTGTTTTCGCAGGAGAAGGGTAGATGCGAGCTCGATGTTGTATCGACTGTCAGCGAGCAAGGAAGCTCGTTTATAAGGAACAGAAAATTTCTTGAAGTCTGGTGATCGTGATTATGATGATGAGGATGATGTTCGTTGCTGTCATCCGGAACTACTTGGTTCGGTCCTTGACAAACGTCGTTTTTCGCCACCGTCATCGATATTACCGCCTTGATCGCTCCTCTACCGCTTCCTCTCGAGGAATGATTCGAGGGTGTTCAATCCTAGTAAGATGGGCCCAGTGCCCAATACCTTGGTGTTTGCATGAGGCTCAGTAGGCCTTGTTGGCCATGATTCTGCCAGGCAGTATTAATGTGCGGTTTCGCCACTTTTGTATCCACTGACGATCTCGCACACGACCCTCACCGAGTAGGTTGCGGGTGCTATTCGCAAGGCTCATTGAGTCACCCGGTGTTCCTGCTCCGCCTGCTCGTTCCCCTATCATTCTTTCGTGTTTACATAGTACGTTCCAGGAACATTGAATTGAGCTGGAGAGGGTACAAACACACTTCAAGGTCCCTGTTTGGACCTTCTCGAATGAGATTCCTGCTATTCGAACGTGAGGTGCAGAGTAAGTGCGGGTACGTTCACATGTCTCCATCAGATATATTGACGTACAGCACTGTTTCATGCTTCTGCGCTTCAGATGCCTTAAGTGCAATATAGGCGAGGACTGCACTGCATCTCCAGGCCTTCTTGCTTGACTATGTCTTATTGTTCGAGATACCTCTGGATATCTAGTTGAGTGTGAAACGAGACCAGCAATGTTGACAATGTCTGCAGTCATGGCTGTAATTCGTATGCCTCGGGGTACTTGCGGGTACCTCTGGCGGAATACACATCCCGCGCCAACTGGCGGTGCCGATTGCCAAGCACCCACCATACTTGATCAATGTCATCTGCACAGCACAAATAACCAAGTACAGTACACCTAAGCCAAGCAACACCGTACTTATTCCTATGTAAGTATCGCAGCTACATAGCATAACCATCCCCATCCCAAACCATGCAACAAGCCCCCACCCGGCCGAAGGGGTTCAACCGTTCAACGGACGGTTCAACGGTTCAACCTGCACGGGTGTACAACCCGACCGGAAGAGTTCACCAGCCTCTCGCAGGCAGGTATCAATCTACATTCAATAATTGAACCCATGTGGCCAATTGAACCCACACAACCAATTAAATCAGATAGCACAATTTTGCCACACGCCCAGATGTCCAGGTTCCGGCCGAGAGAGGAGGTGGCCTTGTATTGCCTGATTTTTGTGCTGGGGGTTTGTTGAATCAGGGGAAATGAGAGTCTTTCGTCAGGGGGTGGACCCGCTTTGATGCCCGGCCACGAATCCCGAGACAATTCCGCCCACGATTGAATTTTTCAGCCAATGGGGGATGGGGACGTGATTCAGACGCATCTGTGATCGGGTGCCGTTCTTTGAATTGTGCTGAGGGAATTCTGACTAGGCTGGACTTGGACAAGTGTGGTTGTAGGTTCGAAGGTCCGGCGTTGTGGACGGTTTTTGACCGCTGCTTCGGCGCTGAGGGTCGGGTTGTCCGCGGAGAGGTTCAACCTTTGCCTTTGGGGACGGGAACTCCGTGGATTGGAGAGCAGCGGTTCATTCTCCTAATGAAGAGTAGATACACGTAACTTATCACAAGATACAGTAAATTGGTCGTGGTGGGCCATTTCAGACCTCAAACCTCACCGTAGAGATACCTCAGCATCCACTCTACCGCCTCCTTCAACTCCCCCGGTTCGTTGCAAGCTGCAAACACGAATCGGTCCGGTCGGACAATCACATATTTCGCTTTGATGCTCTCCCTGATCAAGCACGGATCATACGACAGGGGTGCAGGGCGCTGGCTGCACAGAGGTGACCGGGAGAACTCTTCAACACTTGCAATATGGAATACGTTCGGCATCCGAATCGCGTCCTTCGGGCTCATCTCTTCCACGAGGATCGGGACGTCGTGGCTATGGAATTCTCCGCGGGACCATTCTTCGATACCTTCCAGAGTGTCTCGTGCAGAAGCGACCTCATTACTTCTCTGTAGGTAAATGAACACGCGGAACAGGGATTTCGAGCCGGAACGGTAGATGGCGTCGTCGGTGAAGAGGACTTTGCCGGTGGGGGTCCGACAATAGACTTGGGGCAAGTAGACACCTCCGTTAAGTTCGGGTACGAATGGCATGCCTGCAGAATGTCGAAGCCGGAATGATGCCTTGTCGCGACGGCCATGTCGTAGTTGCTCTCGATAACCTGGCAAGAGCTGCAGGAGCCAAAGAGACCAGTCACGAAAGAGGATCTTCAGCAAGTTTCTCTCGCACACCAATTCGCCGTTGCGGACCGTCGTGGCTAGAGATATCTCGAGTTGCTGCTTGCGTTCAAGGCACCACGCGGTTAAGACCTTTTCGTGGTTGCGTTTGTAGGGTTGATATCGGCAGAACATTGCGAGGCGCCACGACAGGGAGATTGCATCACGAAAACCGGATACTATGCCTTGACCCCCAACTGGATTGAAGGTGTAAGTAAACAGACCAGAGGCTCGGAATGGAGACCTTACAAGGCGGAAAGACATGCGCTGCGTCGCCACTCAGAACCACCCTATCCTTAGCCCATACGTTGCATGTACGAGACGAGAATTTGAAAGGGCGGCAACGAAGGACATCAATACAGTCTTCAGGGAACTGTACATCTTGGTCCAGTCTACAATCTCGTTAGAAGGCGCTTGTGAGCCAGGAAATCAACTAACCCGTATTTACTCCCTTTGTGCGTCAGGTAAGGAAGAACAATCCGCTTCATCGCATCCGGCTCAGCCATGCGATCTCCATCCTCATTGCGATAGACAAGGTACTCGAATCTCCAGAGCCTATCCTCGGGCAGGCCAAAACGGCCACAAACCGCCGGTCTCTTGCGATTGCACAGAAAGCGGAACTCTGGCGGGAAGAATAAGTCGTATACGTGCTCTGGTTTGTAGCCTAGTTCCCATAAGGGAAAGCTGGGATGAGTTTCGGGTGTCGGGAGGGTCATCTTCCAGTTCAGCGCTACCCATGTCTCCTCGTAGAAAGCTCTATATTCGAAGGTGAGAATCTGCCTTCAGCTAGGAAGAGTCGAGCGACTGACTCGTGAAATTTTTCCATCATCACCCCACGTGGCTCCAGGTATTGTTTCCGTGTGTATCCCGTTTTGCCGTCAGCGCCGACCAAGTACCGGGCGCGCACCTTGTGGTCCTTCCCATCCACGTTGTGGTACGTGCAGTACACCCAGTCGTCGTCTTCTTTGATGTCGACAATCGCGGAACCGCATCGCAGGGAACAATACACGGGAGACATGGCGCTTCTCAGCTTACTCTCGAGCGTCGGCTGCTTTTGACCAATGTACCCGACATGCCCTGTTGTACCCGCGGTCTAGTTGTGGTGAGCGACCATCGAGCCTATCATCAAGAACAGATGACTGACCTCGTTGCAATTGATCTCGAGGATGGGTGTCTTGTATAGATCATTACCAGTGCCACTAACGAACCTGAATTCCCCCATACCTTTCGTACATTAGCGGCGCACGTCAATTGTCAGTGGCAGAGAATCACGCACTAGTTCCAATTTCCGTGTAGATCGAATTATACAAACCCAGTCCTTGAACCAAGCGAATACCATCATCATCCAATGCAATACCCCGAGGGTCGGTCGTGATCTCGGTCTCTTTTTCGACAACGACGTTGCGGATGCCCATGCGACCGAGATAGGCGGACAGCATCGCCCCCGTGGGGCCACAGCCACAGATGATCACTTCAGTGGTTTCCCAAGCTTGTCGATTCGACATTTTGAGATAGCCTGACTTGTTGCGACGCGAGAAAAGCTTAGAAGTTGAGCATTCGTGGGAGATGATAAAGAGGACCGGGGAGGACGTGTTGGCACTGCATGCCCGGCCTGCGGGATCCTGCGAGACAACTCATCGCGGGCCACGGAATTGCGGCTTGTCGTATGCGCAATCGCTGTCCTTAGTTCAGCCGCTAAGGTGTGTTTGTGAGAGACTCAGGCTCACTACTGGTCGATAAGAAAAAGTGTTGGGACTGTGAAGAAGAGAAGGCTGAGAGCTAGCGGACGAGAGCGGACGAGAGCGGAGAAGAGCGGAGAAGAGCCGGAGTGGAGAAGGAAGTGACCGGCGTGAGACAAGGGCCGAGATATCACTTGTTGTCTCCCTCTATGCCTGAAGCATACCCCTGCACATCGACCATTTTGCGGATCGGCAGAAAGCGTTGTTCTTCTATCTCTCTCCATAACTTGTATCGGGACTCAAGAGCACCAATGGTCTGTCTGAAGGCCACAATGAATTTTGTTTTGCAGGTGAGTGAGGCTGGACCATGTCTTTCGCACCTATGTGTTATCGAACTTGCCAGGGAGACGAGGAAAGCCTCCTCACAAAGTTGTGAAGCGAAGAAAATCAGTACGCTTGCTCATATTCTACCAGCTTTAGAGGCAGCAGTCATCATGCAGCGCACTTCTTTAGCGACGATCCCTTGTATTTCGTTAATTTACCTTTGCCAACCGCAGCGTTGTTCACGCGCCAGGCTCCGACAACTTCACTGACGAAGACTGGCTCAGTGTGCCAGGTGAAACTATCGAGCACTCTGTATACTCCGCGTATTCCATCTTGCAGAAGCCTCAAGCTCTCTGAAGGTCTTAATCGATGTCCAGATACGGCTCGTTGATAACCATGCTGGCCCTTAAGCTCATTGAGCAGCAGAACCCGGCCGAATAAATGCTGCTTTGTGAAGGCTCTAGAACTATCAAAGGCCCTAGACTTGTTGGCAAGAAATCTAAATGCTTATAACGCCCTGACAGGCAAACAGCAAGCTCAGTCCTCGTGAAGGGCCTACTGGCGAATTGCTCAAATAAGCAAAGACATTTTCATATAGAAGCAAGTTAATCGGTAGCGCCATCAACCAGTGGCGTGACCACTTCCGCGATGCCTAGACCTTTCTGTCCTTCGAGATCATTTCAAAACACGACTACCTCAGATCATGCGTCAAGAATGGGTCAGGCTAAATCCAGAAGACCCCCTTTGCGTGCTGTCTTGCTCCTTCTGTCGAACGACTAGCCCGAACAATTAGGTGTGCTGCCCGAGGAGTTTCGGAATCGCATTGCCATATGAGAGCTCTCCACCGTGGGCCGACGCGGCGGATACTCATTGGCCAGATGAATCGCAAATCAGCGCCAGGAACCAGCTGCATGAGGCTATCGGGAACTGAAATGTCTATCTGCAGTGTACTTCCTCCAGAAAAACAGATATTAAAGTTACCACACGAAGGAAACGATCTAGGCCTCGAGGAACCATTGAGAATTGATGTGATGAGCCAGAAATCAGTCGGTTGCAGACCATACAGACTAATCTCTAACCTCACGCCTCTTGCGCAAGTCTCTCCACGTAGAGACGAAAGAAACTTCGAAAATTGAGTTACCGGCTTTTGCGACGGGATCTGGCCAGCCCGAGTACCAACCACAATCGTATCGCGGGCAACACTCCCCAGAAGCGAACAACAAAACGATCATCACCCGGCTAGATTGACCTGGAGTACATGGGTACAATTAGGCAGCGATGGCTCAGGGGCATCCGGCGTCGTTCGACCGGCTCGTTCGTTTTAGCCCCAGAATGACCTCTGCGGCGCATGCATTGTCTCGACCGTTGCCTCCAGGCGACCAATGACCTCACAAGTCCAAAGAACCAATAATAAAACACATTATGCATCCCAAGTGGGCCATGGTGATCTGGCCGAATCCGGGGAAAGGTAAGGGAGGCGTGTGAGTGGCGGGCGGGATTTGAGTTGATGGGAGTAATTAATTTCAGGGCACGGATCGGGATCAGTTGATGTTCTGCCCGGGATCCGGAGTGGTGTGTCCGATCAGACCATCCGGATACCCACCACCACAACCGAGGAGGAAAAAAGTACATATACTTTTTGTTGACTCAATTTACAACCCGAAAGCGAATCAACAGCGTGACGGGATATGCGCCGAGGAAGCTCATCATGGACTACACCTTCAACACCACCCTCGCCGCGCCGGCGACGGGCTCCTACCACGAGCTATACGAGATCGCCAGCCTGAACCCCAAACTGTCCTTCCTGGAGAAGCTCTGGTGGACGCACTACGCCTACTGGGACAACGACATTATCGCAACAGGTATGCCCACCCTGCAAAACCCACACCCAAACCCCTTTCAATTAACCCCATGAACCCCAGGAATCATCACCTTCCTCGCGCACGAGATCCTGTACTTCAGCCGCTGCATCCCGTGGATCATCGCGGACGCCTTCCCCAGCCTCTTCCACCGCTTCAAGATCCAAGACACGAAAGCCCCGCCCTCGGCGCGCGAGCAATGGAACTGCGTGAAATACATCCTGGCGATCCACTTCATCGTCGAGCTGCCGCTGATCGTCCTCTTCCACCCGATGATGGAATTTTTCGGACTGCAATACACCCTCCCCTTCCCCGACCTGAAAACCCTAGCCCTGCAGACCACCATCTTCTTCTTCGTCGAAGACACCTACCACTACTGGCTCCACCGCGCCTTCCACTGGGGCCCGCTGTACCGCGCCGTCCACCGCGTCCACCACCAGTACGCCACCCCCTTCGGCCTGACGGCCGAATACGCCAGCCCCTGGGAGACGATGCTGCTGGGCTTCGGGACCATCGGGCCCCCGCTCGTGCTGGGCTGGTGCACGGGCGAGGTCCACCTGATGACCGTGTTGGTCTGGGTCGCGCTGCGCCAGTTCCAGGCCATCGACGCGCACTCCGGGTATGATTTCCCCTGGAGCCTGCGCAGGGTGTTCCCGCTGTGGGGCGGCTCCGATTGGCATGATGATCATCATCGGTATTTTCGGGGCAATTATTCCAGCTCGTTTAAGCATTGGGATGGTGAGTTCTTCCTTTCTTGTTGTCGATTCGTGTGGATGGAAGTGCTAATGTGTTGGCAGTGTTGATGGGAACGGTTGCCGGGCCGAGGGGGAAGAAGATGAAGAAGAGTGAGTAAATGCCTGCAGGGTGCAGCGTGCGTGGGGTTCTGTTGCACTAGTGTCTGGGTTCGATTCTTGTGTATGATATTCGTAATAGTAATTATTAATATGAGGATATGAAAGAGTTTTCACAATATGGGGGTGAGGTTTTACTGTAGCCTGGTCTGGTCGTGGACTGGACCGCTCAGTTGCTTGCTTGCTGAAACAAGAATCAGGCTCCGATTCTCCGCCTTGAGTATGCACCACTACCGGCGTAACAGCGGGTGAAGGCAGTGAAGTGCCGCATTCGGGTACCTTGAAAAGCTTGAGATCTCGTAGGCGAGTAAAATTTTGGACTTGCGCTATGCTCGTGGGTTGATTGTGTCCTATTTAAACCAGGGTAGAAGGAAGTGGTGGGCGTGTTTCGGAGTTGGGATGGGTATGCGTAGATGGGTCGCGGCTGGAGGAGGTACATGTCTGTGTATTGTGTAGCTTGGTCCAGAGGCAGAGCAATGTCTAAGACAAAGGCTGGGTGGTTTTTGAGTTTATAAGGGGGCTGGGTAATTCATGTAGATTACTTTCAGAGGCAACTGGCTGTATCGTGTTCCAGCCACGTTCAACTGCTACTGCACAAGCGAAGTCATAGTAATGATTGAGGGTAATGTACACGAAGAAAGTAAATGAGCGTGATGAAAGAATATTGCAGCGAGCTGAACTAATCTCCTTCTATATAGCAACATGCAACATGAATCGCAGAGTACGGATCCACCATACACATGCACCTCTCCCCTTACAACATGATCATGGCCAGACCAGCACCGATGGCAGTGACGACGTAGGCACCGAGCTGGAGAGAGCCAACGGCCACCATGGAGGCACCGGTCATGTGGCCGGCGGAGGAGCTGGAGTCGGACGTGGAGGTGGAGGTGCTGGAGGAAGAGTCGTCGGTGGCGGTGATGGTGGCCGAGACGGAGCCGGTGCCGGCGGTGCCAGCTTGGGAGAGCATAGAGCTGCAGGTGCTGGCGGTGCTGGCGGCAGTGGTGGTGGCGGAGCCGGCGAAGCTGCAGGCGGAGTCCGACTTGTCCTGGCTCTCCCAGTAGCGGTTCAGAGCCCAGTTGAGCTGCTGCTTGGGCTCGCACATGCCGTAGTCACCATAGGTGCCGGTGGTGGCGTTATGGAAGACGCCCGTGCAGGAGATGTAGCCGCAGACTTCACTGAAGAGGGTGGCGTACTTGCTGCTGGAGACAGAGTCCTTGACCACACACCCGGCGGCGGCGTTCATGCACGAGCAGAGAGCGCTGTTAGGAGACGGGGGCAGGGGAGTGGCCTTGGCCTCCCACGAGGTACCGACCGCCGGACAGCTCTGGAGCGCGGTGTTCGTCGGGGTGTAGGATGCCTTGTCGACACCGGAAGGCGTAGCGCTCTGGATCTCCGAAGAGTAGTACTTGAAGTCGGCCATCGTGCTGACACTTGTGCTGTCAATGGCGGAGACCAAACCTGAAGTATATTAGAATGTAAGAATGCACATGTTCACCGAGCCACCTACCGTAGTCGTTACTAGTCTGGAAATACATGTAGACGATACCACCAGACCAGACGCCGTTCATCTCGTCACCGTAGAGAGCCTTAATCTCGGTGAACTCGCGAACACCGTTGGTGTTGCAACCGTACTCGGAGAAGAAGACGGGAACGGAGTAGTTCTTGAATTGCGCGGTGCGTGCCTCGTAGCCGGACTCCTCGTAGGTGGAGTTGCCGCACCAGGAGTAGATGTTGTAACCCCAGAAGTCGACGCCCACATCCTCACTCTCACAGTTGAAGTAGTCGGCCATGTTGACACGAATGTCAGCGTCGTCGTTGGTGGCATAACCCACACCCATGGAGCGGTAGCCCTTCGCCTTGATGTAGGCCTTCGAATCGCGGACGGCGGCCTTGACGAAAGCGCTGGCATCAGTCGTGTCGATGGTGTTGGAGACCTCGTTACCAGCAAAGAAGCCGAGGGTGTTGTTGAACTGGGACATATCATCGATGACCTCCTTGTAGCGGGCGAAGAGGCTGGTCTCCCAGGTCGGGCTGTCCCGATCGATGGACTGGGTGGGGTCCGACAAGTCGGTGATGACATAGATGCCGGCTTCAGCCAGCATGTTCATGCACTCAGTGTGGTTGTTGGTAGGGTCGATGGCATAAGTACGAATGACATTGGTTCTGATCTCTTGAAGGTAGGGAATATCACGCTTGCAGGTGGTGGCATCAGCCAGAGGGTCGACGTAGCTGGTAGAGCTGCTGGAGCTGCTGCTGGTCGAGTTGGAGTCATAGTCGGCTTGAAGCCATTAGAGTCTGCTTGAAGTCAAATGTGTTCAGAAGACATACCCTGATAGGCAACACCACGAATATAGCTAGGCACTGTTAGCAAGGTCGATGCAGAGGGAGCAAAGTCACTTACAACTGGGTGTTGTTGCTGCTGTAGAAGAATTTGGAGCCCTTGGAGCTATTAACGGCAGTCCAGTAGGGTAGGTAGCCAGCCTCCTACCTTGATGATGATGGGATCAATGTCTGCCAGAGCAGATCCCGCAAAGGCTGCCGCTCCAAGAGCGAGAGAGAGCTTCATGATGCTAGGAGTTTGTTCAAATCAAGTGCACGAAAGGAAAAACGCAAATACAACCAGGGATATAAGGATAACGAGTGAATGGAGGACAAAAAACGAATGACGAGTATATCAAGACCTCAGTCCGCTTACAACAGGGAACTGAGAGGGGAACATATAACCGTTCTTCCAAGGAAAAACCTGGCACAGGTTATTTTAAAAGAACAGCGTATAATTAGCAACCCTCAAATTTCTCCTCCGATGCAAGTTGCCAGAGCTGTGGCCTCTCAAACCTCCTGGCTGGGGCCCGCTATACAGGCGAACGCGTCACCCACCATCATGCCGGTTGACAGTTGTAGTGGACAGGACGGTGCTAGCAAAGGACTAGTGATTAGAGTTGCTCGGGAGCGTCCACTCGCGGTGAGGCGCGAAGCCATTGGACTGAAAATTCGGTAGACGAACGATGGTGAAGTGGGACGGTGGCCGAATTGGTGGGTGGAGGATGCGTCGTCGTGGTGCCAAAGTGGATGCCTGATCTTAGAGAAGAATATTTTTCCCTCGAGTGGGGACGGCAGTCGCGCTGGCTATAAGTACCAGTAATTAGCGCATGTCGCCCGGAGGTGGCAGACGAAGAGGGGGCCAGATATTTGGCAGGAAGTGAACGACAACAAAGAGATCATGGTTGTTTGTAGGTAGATTAGCAAGTAGATGTACTGCAGATGATGAAGTGTAAGAAGTTGAGCTGTCATCGATGACTGACGGACGGGTTGTCGATCCCGGCCTGAGGTACGCCTGAGGCAGCGAGCGGTTCGACGGAGTTCGGCAAGCCCCAGACGCTCCCGACCGAAGATGCAGAATTACCAACTACGAGGATTCCAGAACACATCTCATCTCAAAACAAAACAGAGGTTTGACATCGATCATCGCTTCCATTACATCATTGAACGCCTCCCAATAATACAATCTGCCAGAATTGAAACATAAACAATAAATCGTACACCTCTAGAATTTCCGCCCTCAGTCTTTCTCAGCGTCCTCCCTACAAGCCAGCATTTTCTCGTCTGCGTCGTTCAATAGCCGCCTCAAAGGACCGGATTGTATCCAAGGGCCGCTCGAATCGATAACGGGTAGGGTTGGACAAGTCAGGATCCGCTATAAGAGCAGTCAGTCAGTCAAACCGGCGTGTCGTGACAGGGGAAAGGGGAAACGCACTGATCAGCTTGCCCTCGCGGTCGCGATGCTGCATTGAGCGTAGGGAGAAGCCATTCGAACCGACACTGTCCACTACAGCCATGCCAGTTAGTTCTGGTGTTGTGGCAATCAAACATGCAATCTCCTTGCATCCACTAACCTGCACGCTCCCCCATTAGGGCCGAGTTCGGGTCGGCGCTGCTCGAGAGCGAAGCCTTGTGGTTGTGCTCTGCCGGGCGCCCGGACTCGGGCCGGTTGTCACTAGACGCGATCGAAGGTGCCATGTTTTTTCTTGTTGCCTTGTGCCAAAGATCGATGTGTGCGTGTCTAGATACGTGCGTGATCAAAACAAGGAACCACGGATGCAATGGAAAATAAAGCAGTGTTGCTGACGTTGGAGAACAGGACTGGACGGGCGTCTAATAACTAATCCCCCAGGTCAGTCATTACATACCTACGTATGCAGTCAGCAAGTTATGCATGGGTGAGTCAACCAATGGCGAACCCCGGTCGCTAGCGAAACACCAACATCAGCCCTCTGAGAATCACTGTTTTTAGAAACGGGCATGTGAATAAGGTGCATGGAACGCCATCTGCAACCTCAGATCACGCAACTGGCACCAATGATGACACTGGGTGCCTTGGTGCCTGCGTGCCGTGGCTTGTGACGCGGCCGGTCGGGGCCCCCGTGACGTGTGCTCGCCTGTTGTTGGTTGCCATTCTGCAACTTCCCAGGGCCAAGCTTCCACTAAAGTCGAGGACCCAAGGCTTAGCACCCCCGGTGGCCAACAAGAACCGAGCCTCGGGGATCCGCCTATGTTAGGGGCCACGCAAGCATGATGGGCTGTGTGATTCTAGGCAACCACAATCTCAATTTGCAGATGTCGCCGTACCTGAACTCAGTTCCTGGTTACGCCGTACCTTGAAAGAAAAAGATCTCCGAAGTTTCACATCGACAACAACTAAGCTTCGAGGGGTCGCCTCACACTACCTAAGTTAGAATTGCTTCAGCCCAGAAATGTGATGGGGATGACCAAATGCGGGATGATCCTCTCCCCTTCCGGAATGCTGGGGGGCGCATCACTTGTGCGCCGAGGCTATTCGCCACCCTCGACCCAGAGGTTACGGAATAGGTATTATCAGATTAGGATTAATTTTTTCCCTCGCAGCGGCGTGACCACGCCCCATCGCTCCAGGAGGACCATCCGCCTGCAATTCTAGTCTCCTAGACGAAGTCTCACCTTTCCGATCTAGCAGACGGCCGACACAGTGGCATCTGAAACATGGTGCTCGCTTGTTTGATCTGCGGCACATCCCCAAGACACGCCAAGACATCGGCACGGTAGTATCCAGTCCAGCCTGCGGTTACGTACTCGATTACCTTTCGATTTCGCGTGTCAGTGATGCAGCAAGTCAAGTGCCCATCATTTTGACTCGGTTGCCGTCAAAACTCTGGACAAGCCGTTCGCGCCTACAGTAGATGTTAGCAAAGTGTTGATCATCACAGCCTCGTCTCGAAAGAGTTGATCAGCCGCCGAACCACACAAGCGAACTATCAGTACAAGGGCATGTCTTACCTGGGGATAAACCATAAACCACCGGGGATAAAATCACTTCCTCTCATTCTTCTCACTATCCTCCACCAACCACCCTTTCTCCAGTGGACAAACCATCTTGCAACATATGGACTGTTGCCCATTGACACCGTAAACCCCAACTCACCAGAATCCCACCCATCACTCCAGAACGTAGCCACGCGCATACAGACCGCAAAGAAACTCTACAACCTCCCAATAGAACCACAGTCAACCTAAAAACTCTTCATCTCCTCCTAACAAAACCCAGTCCCGCACCGCTGACTCAAGCCCCCCAAAAAAGAAATCAAGGCCGCACCCCCCCCCCCCCCCCCACAACAACTCCACCGCACCAAGTCTACAGAGACCTCCGCGGCAGTCGGCACTCGTTACCAGAACCGGTAAAGTCCCCACCCCCTGAGACAATAACATCCGAGTCTGAATGGACGAATGTCCGAGGGGGCAACAGCTACAGACGGAACCTACGTGCGTACATTATTCGAATCCTCCCTAGAGACGTCCGAGTAAGGTTGTGGGTTGTGGCTGAGGGGTGTGCGTTTCTGCATGCTGATCCATCGTGTCTATCATACTGTGTTTTGGAGCCACCGAGAGACTGGTTGAATGAAGGTCCGTCCGTACATAGTACAATTTTGCTGGAGAGCGATCGGGGCGATAGATAGACAGGAATCCTGCTGCCTTGGACTAAAGTGAGAAGTGAGACATCATGGTTGTTATCACGTACGGCCGGATAAGTTCTGCGATTTTGAGCGGAGGTTGGTGCTTTCTTGGTTGGAATGGCGTATCTTCTGTAGAATGTCGTGTGAGGATCTGTCGAGGGTGTAACATTAGTGCTTGGCTCCACCATTTCAATGTCTTGTGAAGTAGGCGTAGGGTATAGCCTGTAGGCATCCGTGATATGGTGGTTGGGGGTGAGGTTTTGGCCGGGTGTGGATCTAAGGGGTGCTTTGTGGGGTGATTGCATTGTAGGTTGATGGGTGTAGATTGGTACAGTACAGTTAGGAGGTACTGGAGATGTGGTTGCCTGCTAGCAGGTTGAGAGTATCTAGCAGTCATCACCCCTGTGTTCGTTGTAGACGGTGCCAGAAACGCTCTCATCTATGTCAGCGACGGAGCACTTTTCAGATAGAAGCATCATAACAGACCTCCCAAAGCTCACTAGACCCTCCATCAACTCATCAGCGACACAAACCCAAACCAAAACCAGGAATCTACAACCTCAACGCCTCCAAAGCTCCATCCCACAACCCCCCCCACCGAACCCCCTCCCTCTGCACAACCCAAACCACAACCCCAACCAAAACAACCCCCCTAACCACCTTCCACCCACACTCCCTCAGATTCAACCGCATACACGCGCGATGTCGCGCCAACATATCGGCCTTGGTATTCCCGTTCGGCACCGGCACCGCGGGGACGGGCTGCCCCAGAAACGCACACAACGGCTCCCACCCCTCCTTGACATGGTACAGCAGCAGTCGGTCCTTGGGCACTAAGGCCTGAATCTTGGCCACGTGGTTGCGGTACGTCTCGCGGGCGGTGGTGTGGACATCCTCCCCGTAGAGACATAACCCGGCTTTGAGGAAGGTCTCGGGCACGAGACGGAAGCGGGAATGCAGGAGGTTGTTGATGATGTTGATGAGGGGCACGAGGAGGTGTTTGTTGAGCGGGGTGTCGATTGCGGTGACGAGGGTCATCATTGATCTGGGGATTAGTTAGCGCTGTTCTCTATGACGAGGGGACGGGGACGGCTGGGATTGGAAGATAGGTGTACGTACTCGTACCATTCATCGACGTCGCGGACTGTGATGATGACTTTTGCTTCCGGGTAGGCTTGGATGAGGTCTTCTGCGAAGCAGATGGCTGGGAGGTCGGAGACGGCCTATGGCATTGTGCGTTAGCATGCAGCTACTGGACTTCCGTATACCAAGTCAAGGGCGATAGGTTCCTCCTGCTGCACGATTATTCAGAAAAACTGACCTGACAATGCCCCAACAGCCGATCCCAGTCCTCGCGCTCGAACCGCTGTCCCAACCCGTCGTACTTCGCTCGCAAAGCTTTCAGCCACATCTCGCAGTCGCGTGGGTTGGTGATCATTGCTTGGTATCCGTGGTATGCTTCGTGGTAGCCGAGGATGCGCAGGGCGTCCATTAGCGCTGGAGATAGGTATGTGTATGTCAGCTACCGCTTCATTGACGTTGGGAGCGACTCGTCAAGCCTAGGCAACCTGCCACAGGTAAACACTCACACTCGGATCCCGTCCTCGTCAGACCCAGCGAAAGAACCCGCATGGGCACGATGCGCGAGCACTCCTCGCGGTCGATGTCGGTGACATGGAAGACGCGGTTGCCGGCTTCGATGGTTGGCATGGTGGGTTGTAGCTGTCAAGCTGGTGGGGATATCTTCGATGCTGCGTTCTATCGCCAGGGTGAGCTTGCTTGGTCTGCTCAATCGGGTGTTTGTGTAACGATGGCCGTCCAGTCCGTGGGATGGTCGTGTGCGCGCTACGTTTTCGTTAGGGGTTCCCAACTCAGTGTCCGGCGTAAGGTGTTGCTTTGGTGATGAGGCAAGGCCAGCCGAGATTATGAGTGGCTCTTAGAGATTCTGGTCTCAGGCAGAACAAATCACGTCGATTGTAGATGATAAGCAGACTGATGAGACAGCTGTACGGGTGGGCGAGCGCGTTTGTTGTGATGATCGCGGGGAAATTCCGAGAATGTGACCTGTCATCGTAGATCCCAACCTCCTTAGAAAAAGCAACGCTGTCAGCTCGTGATCACAACACAGCTCAGTATACCCTCGAACCAGTCAGCAACCAAGAATACAACTTATTTGATAACACAAGGTATAGTTATTTCACTTACCATATAGAGGAGCTTATGCTGCCATCCATTTATGAATTGACCAGATCTGGGCCTTTTGTTAACAATCTATTGATCCATCCGAGAGGCCATCAATCAATTCAACTGCATTGTTCCACCCCCGCATTCTTCACTTCAGAAATGCATCCGAGTCACGTGCATATTGCAAGAGATGGAGTCAACAGCTCATGGATCATGGATTTGCTGCCACAGAGCTTCTTTATGGCTGCCTTATTCATCATTTCTGAACGTCTTGCTTATTCCGTGTGTTATATGCTCAGAGACGTCATCAACTCTTTCTCCGAATCATGGGTGTAAGCGGCATGGATTTGAGGCTGGGGAATGAGTCCACTATATCTGTTATCTATCCCGAGATGTGATACCTTAACCCGAAAGTAGTAAACAGAACCATCTCGCTAGCAGAAATCATACACGACATATACTAAGTCCCCACTTGCGGGGCACTTTATACTACATTCCACTCACCCAAGGTATATCTTACTCATCTGCACATCATTCCCTTCCTCATTAAACGCCATATCCATCTGATACACCTTGCGGTTCAACAACAACACCCGCGAGGGATGCCATACCGCCATCACCACCATCCCCAGAAGCATGGGCAACGCATCGAACACATACGCAAATAACTCATGCCGTCCCAAATAGCCGTCGCTACCGGTGGTCCCGGCACTTGCGTACTCCACAAGTCGGTACACCGAGCGCACCAGGATCATCGCGCTGGCGAAGTAGAGGGCTAGCAGGGTGGTCTCCCAGGTGGCGTGGAACCAGCCGTCGGTGGCGATGCATGAGGAGATGGATTTCGAGGAAGGAATGCGGTGGATGCGATAGTGGAAGGCAGTGGCGACGAGGACGAAGACGGTGAAGAAGATCAGTTGGATGACTAGGCCGGCGATGATGACGTTTTGGCCGGTGGTAAGGGCGGAGGGGTCGGTTGTAGTGTGGGTGAGGATCGCGCCGCCTTGTGCTCAGGGTGTTAGGTCTCTTGAGGGAGGATGAGAGATAGATGCAGGAAGCAAGGGGCTTACCTGCTCCTTGAATTAGAAAAGATATGATATCCCCCGCAACAAAGATCACGGTGAGCCAGCGCGTCGGCACGGAGCTGAGCTCTTCTTTGTCGAGGTAGAAGATTAATCGGCCTAGTGTCATGTATAAAGTTGCTGCGTAGAGAGGTGGTGCAAGGAGAATGAATAGCGTCTGGATAGTGAAGATGGAGAGATTGCTTGTATTGTTGTGCGCTCCGGCACGCGCGATGTAGCCAATAACTTCGACTGCATTCGCTTGATTAGCGGCATCGCCTACGACGCTCTCCTACTAAAGACACTTACATAGTCCGCCCAGAATGAAGCAGGTGAAATACCACGCGTGCGCTCGGGCCAATTGGTAGACATGGCAGGCGGTTACGGCAATGAAGAGTAGAACGAAAATGGCGGCGGCAGCGACCGAAGGATTGTAGTTGTAAAGCTCGTATGAGCCATCCGCGCTGGATGAACTCATGTTATCATCGATTTCTAGTTTGTGTAGACCCGCTGTATAGGTACGATGTAGGTCAATCGACCTGGAATTTTGAGTTGCGAGCGATGCGCGGCGCGGACCCGGAGACAGCGATATTTACAACAGGAAGACCCATGACAATGATAAAACTGAGGACCCGACTCTGCCTTGCAAGTCAATGGCATGTGTCTGTCGCATTCTGAAACTCACACTGGCGTTGCTTGTTGTTGGTCTTACTCAGATCCGCGAACCTCAGACAATTAGCCCCCAAATTGACGGGCAGGCCCCATCCGAAGGATGTAAATGGGGCCAAATCAAGTATGCGATTGGTCCCTGCGTAGACCCATGGATAGAATCAATGACCGGCTTGCGGTTCTTGAGGCTCTTTGTCAGGGACCGCGGTCGCAAAAGGGGTCTAGCCCATGGGCTGTCCCGTGGGTAGGGGTCTGATTATAAGGGTCATCCAACTGGGCTGTGCACTGCATGTAGACTTAGTGATAAGACCACAGGTTGGATTAGTGATAATGCTGAATTGGCTTTGCTGTAGGTTTACGTCTTGAAAGTGCATTCCGAGTAGCAAGGCATCGTCACGTTGAACGCATGCAGCGTGCGACAGTACCAAGAAGGATAGCGCGAGGCGAGTGCAGAAGGCAAGTATAGGTATTCATAGGTAAGGACCGATGGAAAGAGAGTACCTACTAGCAAGCACACCAAACAGATCAAACGCCCCGGAGTACGTCCAAGTAGACCGGCCATTCACTAAGTACCTCAGCATGTACCTTCCTCTCCAGTCATCGACCCAATCCACAGAACCTCGTCCCTAACAGACTCACAGCAAAACTTCAATCCCCACTAGTTCTACGCAGAGTCCACCTTCGATCTCTTCCTCCCAACGTTATCCTTGGATTCCTGTATTCATTCCGAAACTTCCCTTCAAAAGAACGGGAATCTTCAGACCTTCTTCCCACCGTAAGTCTTCACCTTGCTCCCGTTGGATCTTCAACAGCAATCTCACATTTCCCAGGGGTGGGGCCTTCCCCGGCCCCAGGTGGGCTGTGCGCCGGTGGGCGTTTAATGATCCGTCTTATAGACAAGGTAAGTCATGCTGGCTGCATGTCATTGTGACCTTGGATTATGGTGTGCTGTGTTGAGGAGACGATTAATCGGTTCGTGTCTAGGTTCTTCCCACCATGCTACTTTTTGACCGGGCCGCGCCCCATGACGCGCGCGAATAGACAGCTCAGATCTTTTGGGGGGAGGGGGGGCAAGGAGAGAGCGGGAACCTGATTCTGATTCTGGTCAGAACTGAGGACGATACTCGTTTCGATCAGATGAAGGAGGGATGGAGCGTCATGCACGCAATAAAGCTCGTGTTCGACGCGTGCTACAGCCCAGAGGTCATCTGAGTTGATGAGTTGACACGGAGCTCTCAATACCTGTAAGAACTGCTTGGCATGTTTGCATCAGGTTCACCGGCTAACGTCTTTAGTAGACGGTTCATGATGCTGCCAATCTAGCAATCTCATTTTGTGCACACACATCTCATCGGATCACCCTCGGTCATTGGCTACCCTTCAATACACGTGTGTCGGCACAGCACAGCACAACGTAATATACCTCAGCTTGCTAAAGCTGAAGATTCCGGAAAACAAAGTGGACTTATTGTGAACATCATCTTCGGAGATTGTTTCAACAGACATGATGATTCCGGGTTTCAATCGGGTCCCTGCATGCACCAACCCAGTCAAGATAGACTGCGAGGACGACGGGCCTGTCACAGGTCTACTTCTCGCAGAGACGCAAAGGTCTTTTGGTGGCGGAATGGCTGACTCTCTACTTTGATTGCCCGCTGCAAGGCTTGGTTGGACTGATCGTGAGCATCGACAACATTAACCTCGATCTTATATGATGAGATTCGATCCGCCTAGATATTTTCGTACATATGATATCATCTGATATCCTCACAGGTGTAAATGAGGAGAAGTGGTTTGCGAAAGTGAAAGGAAACAATATGTATATTATAACTATCAATCGTTACTCATAAAGCCCAACACCCTCAACCCCGTCCAAACTAATTATAAATGCTCAAGGTATCAACAGCCGACCCATTGCCACAGGCCCCTCCAAAGTCACCGTACAGCTCCTCTCTCTCCTGCATGAACTTGCTGAACCCCTCGCGGGAGCAGCTCTCTCCCGGACCATCGCGACAGCCCACCAGCGGCTGCGGCGCCGAGTTCACCAAGACGCGATAGTACTCCGGGCTCTCGTAACCGGGGACATCACACTCCAACCGCTCGATGGCGATGTTGCCCAGGAACGGAAGGATGTGGCTACTCCTCCAGGCGCGGTTGTAGTTGACCTGGTCGAGGGGCATGGTGGTGTTGAGGTCATCCGCGCCGGTGAAAGCACTGTTATTGAACAGGCCCAGCGCCGTGACGACCGTGGGCGGGAGCTCGCGGTGGGTGAACGAGACATACAGCGTGTCGCTGGTGTTGGTGTCGCCGGAGACCATGGCCCAGCTGGCCTTGGCCCAGGGGAGCCCGATGTGCGGGCTCAGCGGGCGGCCGTACCCCGTGTTGTAGAAGTACATGATGTCGTTGGCGTACTCGAAGGCCAGCCACTCGGCCGAGGTGAACAGCGCCAGCGAGCAGAACGGCGAGAACCCCCGGATCACCGTCTCGTAGCCGCACAGCTCGAACATGGCCGTCACGTCATCGGCCGTGAAGTTGAACTTCGGGGCCAGCGTGTCGAGCCGCGCGATGATCGGGGTTGTGTAGTGGTCGATGAATTCCTGTACCAGTGTTGGTTAGCTGGGCCGGAGGTGGGTGGTGGTGTGAGAAGGGATGGCGGTATCAAACCTTCGACTGGTCGCTGCCGTAGCTGGAGCTGTAGGCCGGGCAGGCCTTGTATGGAGTCAGAGAGTCCGCACCCGTCGACTTGGACTCGGCCACCTGGACGAGATCCAGGGCGGCGGACTGGTTGTTCGTGTAGCCGTTGATGAACCCCTCGGCGGACTTGACGGTGCGGTCGGCGGTCGAGGTCCACACCTTGTCGGCGCGGAGAGTGGGGTAGTGCTGGTGCAGTTTCCGGCCCAGAGTGGTCGCTTCCTGCAGGCCGACGCGGGTGATCTTCTCCAGGTGCTCCTCGTCGATGGGGGCAGTCCAGTTGCGGAGGAAGGAGAGCGCGCCGGTCGATTGCCAGTCCTGGGTGGTGTTCCGCAGCTTCTCGACGAAGGGCTCGATGTACGACTCGTAGTCGAAGTCGTTGGCGTAGATGGCGGCGTGGCGCACCAGGTATGCGGCGCGGGTCACATTGCAGCCCGGGTGTGGCTTGGGGTCAATGGGAGGGTCCTGAGGGGCAAAGTATGGTGTGATACCAGCCAGATGGTGCAAAGGGTTGAAACCGATTCCGGTCGTGGTTGTAGCGAGGGTGCTGAGCGCGAGGACGGTGAAGGACTTCATGGTGGACGGGGTCGGATAGCCCGAGTAGGGCTGAATATTCGTACTGCGGGATGGTTGCTGCTGCACTGCACATTAATTGAGTGAGAGGGTCAGCAACCTATATAGGTTTCCTGGTTACTGCAATCATTATGGCAGAAAAAATAGTAGCACAGAGTATTTTACCTATTACATCATGGCCAGGCACCAAAGTATCTCCAGATCCAAGCGACGATGCAGTCATGGGCCAGCTCCATACGTCACCGATCTGCCGGACATCCTTGGAGATGCGCCAGGGCCCAGGTGGAGCCCATCCGGCCAATCCGCGCCGCGATGCGGCTTTAAGGGTCGCCCCGGCAAGAATTTAGCACTGAGTCGGGGAGAAGGTAAATCGCTGCAGGAGCGGCGGAGCGATAAATTTAGCCCGCCAGCCATGTCGTGGCTGAGTCGCTTTGGCCGACAAGTCATCAATCATGCATGCTCAGAGGCAGAAAGTGGGAGTTCATGGTGCTCTCCCTTCGGTCGCTATGTCATCGGACAGGAAGCTTGTCACCGACAAATTGGTGGACCGTTCCGGAGTCGCCAAGTTCTGCCGGCGTCTGGGCATTCTCCGAACGGATAAAGATCGCCGTCTCGTCCGGGTCCATGACATAAGGCTGTAAACAACCAACATCACTTCGAGAAGACTCCTGCAGCATGAGCCGAGAACCGAGTGAGCTAACGAGTAGACATTATCTTGGCTAGAGAATCGTTTAGAAGCCCAGCCGATGTGCTTGGCATTGGATGTTCAGGCTCGACTCGTGTTTGACCAGCATGAGTGCATTTGTTCCTGCGCAAGCTGCCCGGCTTGAGGGTCACAGTATCGCACCGAAATAGACGTGTAGCGTCATATACAGGTTCAGCCCAACCTAGGTCTAGAATTATGCTCATTAGCATCTCGGTCTCAGAAATACAATATCGCCTTACAGGTGACATCCGCGAAGTGTATGAGCGACTTTCCAGACTTGTGACCTGATTTTGGCGATCGAATACAGCTTGCAGTCGCGACTTTATGAAAGAATACTGGTAGTGGTGCTTCGTTGATCTGAATAGAGTACCTACATGGTTGAAAAGAGATACTGGTGGAAACAAGGAGATTGTGGGCGATCGTACTGAGCAGAGTGAGGTTGACACGACGAGGCCTGTGGGCGGAGAAGCCAGCAGACAGCATGTCTCGTGACTTCTTTAATCTACCGGATCGGTCCAGGCTCCTGCATGATTCAACAATGACAGCAATTCGAATTCTTTAGCTAAAATCATTGCGATGGATCTTCAAGCTTCGAGCAAGTTACGAGGCGTGTTACGGTGGTGACCTTCTGAAATGGCTGGCCTTACCTTAGATGGAACGGTTCCCAGGCACCGTCGACATCAGTCGGACTTGCCTTACTGAGCGGATGTTCCTCCGATGGAGCAGAATCACTGAACAGGCAATATAGCAACAGTACCTAGCAAGTACCTGTAAAACATTTGATCCAGACTAGACCAGATTTAACAAACATTTTCAAAGGCCAATTTCAACCGGTTGCACTATTTCACAGTCTCCCTAATCCACTCTCCTATGCCCAAATAAATGGAAAAGTTGTCGAAAACTCCGTCAGCACCGTCCCAAACCAGCGGCGTAAATCCAGAAACACAATCAAGTCCGAAACACCACAACAGAAGGACAGGCTTTCCGCAGGCAAATTAGAAAATCTCCCAGAGAACAATGCGCTCCATGCCCAGGCCCAGCCGGTTCGCATTGACCCGACACATCAGCGCGCGGAGCGCATACGCCGCCTCGGTCTCGCTGACCTCGGGGCCATGCGGCGTCAGCACAGGCGGATCGCGGTGTCGACTCGCGCCCTGGGCCGAGTACACGCAATCGAGGATCCTGAAGTTCAGCAGGCCGGGGAGCTGCACCAACGTCCACAGGACCCGCTCCCAGGTGCAGCTGTGCAGCGCGACGCCCTTCAACTCGACGGTGTGGAGTGTCTGATAGGACAGGCTGAGGATCCGCCCGAACGTCGCGGCCGACAGGCATACGCCTTCCAGCCTGAGCACGCGGAGCTTGGTCAGGTGCTCGAGGTCCGCCCAGTCGAGGTCTAGCACCCCGCCGGAGGATCGGATGGTCAGGCACTGCAGGTTCGTCGAGCAGTGGACCAGCCAGAACATCCAGGCCGAGAAGCTACGGTTCATGACCAGGGCTCCCGCTGGCATGGGAACTTCGTGGAAGCGGTAAGTCGGGATCGACACCTCCAGGTTGGTGAGACGCGGGAGGACATGCGATACGTCTCCGTGGGCCATGGAGAACGCAAGAGGGAAAAAGCCCGTGTTATCTTCGACGACGGGGAAACTGATGCGGAGCTCGGTCAGGTACAGAAGCGGCAGTTCGTAGAGCGTGCGCATGATGATGTTGCAGATATAGATCATTTCTCCGGGGGTCAGGGACTCGCGGACTTGGTAGTCGTAGTTCAGAGCTCTGACGTTGGGTAATTTGCGCAGGCAGGGCATCACGCCGCTGGACAGGCCGATTGTGGTTGCGATGTCGGCCCGGAGGACATGGGTGTTGTAGTCGCTGTTGGTCAGATAGACAAGCAGCGGAAATGGTCGGGGAACCCCGGCGCGTACTGCGTTGATCTGGATGTGTCGAGCAAAAAGAGGCGAGATCCGCATATAAAAGCTTTTGTTCAAGGCTCGCAGCTCTCGCAGTTTCCGGGCACTAGCCTTGTCCATGCCTTTATCTAGGAGTCGGACCGTTGGCCCGAAGAGCTCTTCCTCGATGTCTTCGACGAAGTACGAAGCGATCTAGAACACACATTAGCTTAGATGGCTAGAGGCTTCTGCAGGTAGATGCTTACCATGTCCCATATCTCGTTGGGTAGCCTGGCAAAGTGACTTGATATGTTGTTCGACTCATTGAGCTTGTTGACCTCGTCGAGCTTGTTTGTCTCATCGACCTTGTTGATCTCATCCAACTCATTCATCTGGGTATCTTCCTCACTGGATCCTGGCAATACAATCCGTCCCAGGGCATCATGAGGCAATCCATATATGGTTGCTGCATAATGTGTCAACATTTTGAGGGTTTCTGCTGCACCCGGTTGTGGTGGCGAGAATATGTTCGAATCGATCGATTGCTGAACAAGCAGAAAAGAACTTGCTTAGAAGTCCTCTGCTTTTACTTCTGCCTTATCAAGCTCAGGGACGCGCAGTAACGCGTTAGTAAATTCTTTCACAACAAGGAGACCGGAGATAATCGCCTCACAAGGTAGCGAAAGTGTTTTCCTTGGAATGAAGTGGAACGAAGAACGCGTACCTACTCAAGATAACAAACCAAAGCAAGTGTAAAATCGATAGTCTCAGTAAGTCTTCCAGATCAGTTCAGAGTCAAGGATCTCAGTAACACATTAAGAAAAGATCAAAATTGATGGTCTCAGTATGTTTCTTAGATCAGTTGAAGATCGATAGTCTCAGTAATACTTGAAAATGACCCAAGACAGACGATCTTAGTATTATTCATGAAACAACCGTGCCTGTAGACAAGATGAAGAGTTAAAGAGATGGGGATTCAAAGAGGAAAGAAAAAGGCAGATGAAGTGAGAGAAAAAGACCTGATGTCAGATTGTATATTCAGAGTCTACTACAGCGCAGATATTCACTTCACTAACTCACCAGATTTTCCCAATATAGCAATACATACTCTGTTTCTCAGAAAAGAAAATATTCTCCTCTTTTACCCCCTGTGTTAGACTAATGTCAGGCCTTGGCCATGCCTGCACTCTCCAGAACCTATCCCTATACTCATTCTCATCGATCAAGCTGGGGCTGAGGCGTATATTCTTGCCTGGCACACAACACAAATCTTCACTGAAACTGACCTAGAAGGTAACCTGCTTGAAGCAGCCAAGTATGTCCAGAACAACCTAGTTTAACAGTAAATAACAGCACCAAGCCCTAAAGCATCCTCCAAAACAACCCAAAGCAAAAACCCCCAACCAAATAATCAACCCGACAAAAGCAGAACCAAGCACAATATGCAGTGCACTAAGCAGAGTTATGCAGGCTGATTAATTATTTGTGGGTAAGTTAGTACCCACAATCCCGCCCCGAAGGAGAAGGACGCAGGCCGCGGGCCCAGACTGGTCCGTCCGCTCCGGCATTACCTTCCGACAAGTTGAGCTCCAAGTTACTCCGTGATCACGCGCCGCCCCCCAAAAACCTCACTGCGTACTGATTCAATCTCCCCCAAAGTCGAATGAAATGACAGACCCCTTCCCCTCCTACCTCATCACACCCGCAGAATACCACAATGTAGTCACCACAACCAAGACGGCGAGGAGGATCATCCCCCTAGCAGCAGGGCGGCCGGCGCTTCTTCCGGCGTTCGAAGCCCACCACCTCCCTGGCACGAAGTACGAACCCAACCCTCCTCCACCACCCAGAACAGAAGATGAAGAACTTGCACTTTGGCATTTACTAGATACACATATCTACCTATTCTCTACCCCTCTATCTACATGATCGATGCTTGTGCCCTTCTCGGGCACGTTGGACCTGTGCCACCCTCACCCACTACCCCCGTCCACATTCGTACACCGTACCAACTCGTCATGCCACAAACGCAGATTCTTTGATCAGTCCATCATCCGCGATGCTACCTCCCCCTACCCCCTCATGCTCCCTACCGCCGAAGCCTTTGCCGCCGCCATGACAGCCCTCGACATCCGGCCCGCCGACATCTTGGTCGTGTACGACGCATACGAGATCGGGACCTATAGCGCGCCGCGCGTGGCATGGATGTGCTCGTTCTTCGGCCACGGAGCGGTGCATGTTCTGAACAACTTCCGCGTGTATGTGGATTTGGGATACCCGGTGAGCTCGGGGGAGATCTCGAAAGGGGGTGGAATCCCAGGAGAGCCGGGGGATGCGTATCCCGTCGCGACGATCCCGGATCCTGATAGAGTGATCTTATATGAGGAGGTTAAGGGGTTAGTGGGGGACGAAGAGGTTAAGATTGTGGATGCGAGAATCGCGGGCCGATTCAGTGGGAAGCAGAGTGAGGAGGACACCAGCTTGCGGTCGGGACATATCCCTGGCGCAGTCAATGTGCCTCTGGCAAGGCTATTGGATGAGACGTCCAAGGTGATACTGCCCGCTGGCTCACTCAAGGACATCTTTGAGGAAGCAGGATTGTCCGTCGTGAACGAGGTCCCACGCTCGTGGATTTTGACCTGTAACTCCGGCGTGACTGCCGCTGCACTGGATCTAGCACTCTCGGAAATCGGCGCGAAGGGCCCTAGAAGGTTATATGATGGTAGTTGGATGGAATGGACAAGGCGAGCTGAGGAAGAGCTGGTGGTTGTTGACACGAACAGCTGAGGGTCACTATCGATCGTTAGTCAACAAGATAATATGGTTTCGGCGGTGGCTACTGGTTCTACTGTGCCAACGCGCATGGGTCCTGGCACGCCGCCTGCCAAGCTATCTTGACGGCCAGATGAACCCAACGAGCTGTAGCCTGCCCACCAATGGCACTTTGGCAGACCTCTCAGAATGCTGAAGGCGTGTATGATTTCGTGTTCTATCGATAACCGTTCTCGGCGAGTAATATGTGATGATGGCGTGAGTCGTGTATTCTCATCGCTCATTCATGATCATGCATCGTGTCTGACATGAAGCAAACAAAAACAACAACGCAAAAAAGAAATAATGTAGGCCACCCGTGTATCTAGTGGGGCGTATCCGAAAGTCGTCATATACTCTGTCAGGCTGCGGCCACGCTTACCTGATCATCCGCTGTGCTGAGCCGATCGAAGGCTCGGATCAGGTTCTCCAAAGTTTCTCCTTGGAAGGCGCCGCTTTGAAGTCCATCCCTCGTCGGATGATGATGATGGACGACGTAATTAGCGGAGACCGATTGGATGTCATGCTGGGTCCACAGCTTTTCGTTGAATTCCCGCAAGATGGACTGCGCCTCGACGGGAATCAACGTTTCGTCGGCGCCAGTGCTCAACACCAACTGGATCGTGCGCAGAAACGGTCGACATATTCGCCACGCTAGACCCATGTGCCAAAGACCTGACACGCAGCTTACTAGCACTTCGCGCCACTTTGAAGATCGCAGATTGGACGCAGCATGGAGCCCAATTACAAAAAAGTAGTGGACCATGACCACTGGTATTGATTTCCACCCGTGGCAAACACGGTACATTAAGATGATCGTTGCCATAGCATCCATGGCATCTTCTAAGACTTGCTGCGGGTCGAATTGTGTTACAGCAATAATGGTTTCCTTGGTCGTGGTGGCTTCTCGGGAATTGAACAGCCCACAGAGATTGACCACAGCCATGTGATAATATAGACTGCAGAAGTCAGTGATGTGCAGGCTTGGAACGATTGGGCCACATACTGAAGGCATAAATTGTGGGGGGTTTTGTTCCTTCCTATCCCAAGCACGATCGGCAAAGTCCTTTCAAATGTGACTAACTTCTCGTGGATCAGAGTGCCTTGTTGCCAGCTAGGAAGATCGACGCGGTGAGGCATCTGCGCCTCGAAACTCGAAATATCGTTGATAAGGATGAGGAGGTTGCGGCGGACGAAGACCCCTGTGTTCGCATAGGGCTTGAACGTCGGATATGTGAACGGATAAGGCGCCCATTGTTGATTGACATCTGAAAACAATGCTTCTTCCTGCGAGAGGTAATTCTCGGGGGGTGCTTTCCAGGGCGATGGTTTGCGCCCCAGTTGCATTGTTATTCTATCGGGCATCAGCACCTTGTATACAGCGTCATGCTGGAGGATAATCACTGACGATTGGACATCGTATATCCCGCAGGCAATAAGCTTATGTGCCCAGTGATTTCGCTTCGCTTCCGCCATCGAGTCGCTGTGGAAGACGGCCGACGAAGGAAGATGCAGCCCCAGCTGCAACGCCATTTGGCCACCATAGTAGATGTATTGCGTCCCGATTTTATCCTTTCCGGACGCGTTGAAAAACAGCCCTAGAATTAAGCTGGCTTGAACAGTGGTTAGACATACATTGTCCTTGTCCCGCTGCCAGAGACGACCAATCTCGCGGAACAGTCTCTTGGCAATGGACATTTCCTCCCTCCTATCCCATGGCTTCTCCAGGTCGTATGAATAGTGCTACTTGGGTCAGAAAAGGCTAACCGAGGGGTAGCAATACATACACACGCAAAAAAGAGGATGGCGTGCACCAGCAACGAGGAGCAAAACTGTGTCCTTCCGGATTGAAAGTCGGCGAGGAACACACTTGGCTCGATTAGATGCCAGGTAGGATTATCCCAGACGAAGAAGAGGGAGAATAGATGCGAGGCCACCGCACTATCGACGACCGATGTCCACTTCTCCGCCGCCGTGACCGTGTACGGGGGATGTCGACACACCAGCTCCGCTTTACCAGAAAGTCGACTCAGCCAGGCCCGCTGCACTCTGCCAAGGGTGACTCCGGGCCGTTGCGTTGACACCTGCTGGTCGAGATGCATGGCCGCATCGTGAACGGATGCGCTCCGCCGGATGGTCTCCACCACTGAGGGCAGGACTGCCGGATCACAATCGTGAACCACTTGGTAGATCTGATGCAGGTCCCGGAGCTGCCCCTGAAGCACTCCTAGGGCTTGGTCTAAGCTTTCAGGGTAATGAAGCTCCACGGATGGGGGCTCCTCCTCCTGAGAGGGTGGAGCCACTGGGGCTATCTGTGTTCACACTGGTTCAGCACACCACCACCCTCATGGTCAGTGACGACCGAAGTCAAGCCACACGATATGAAAGACTTACCTCCATGGTTTCCCCTTGCGAGGGGGTTGAGTCCGTGGGGTCCTGATCTGTAGTATCATCGTCCTGGTTTGTGGGTCGAGCGGAGATGAGCTGGATCATTCGTTCATGGCGTCGGATGGTGCTCCGCAACAGGGTGAGCTCTTTCTGCTCGAGGGTGCGTTTCTGTTCGGAATAGGTGCACTCGATGGCCAAGCCATCGCACTGGATACAAGTTGGCTTGCCACCATTGCACTTAGCTTTGCGTTGTCTACACGGATCGCAGGCACGTGAGGTACGTATGCGGGAGCTAGATAGTACGATCCGGGACCGATCTCGCGGGATCAGGACTTTGGCCCGGGAAACTCGATCGGACGCCCCAGCTGGTTGGCCAGAGGGCCCAGTGAGAGCGGGGAGAGGGCCCCTCTTGGTGCGCATGTCCAAGGTCTTCGAGTTGACGATGAAGTCCCGATCGACTTTAGACAGTCATGATCGGTACGATCGGAGAAATCCAATTGGTAATCGGTGGGTTGTCAGTATGATCGTGAGGGAGCGAGGGGGTGTTGAGGAGACGGCTGGAAGAGTTTTGTGGAAGGGAAGATACTTCCATGTTGGACTCAACCCGAGGGAGGAGGATGTGGGGCACCCAGAATATTTATCTTATCGTTTTCAACTGGAAAGGTTTTTGGTGGTGCCCATTGGGGAGATCGGGGTGGTCGGAGAGAGGGGGGAGGAGGATAAAAGGGACGGGGAGAAGGTTGTTGCGGTCAAACCTCTCACATTTGTTTCCAACCTACTCCGTACTGAGATTTCAGCGACCTCATTAGTACTAGGTGAAAGAGATCCTTAGGTACGGACAAGGGCATGGACCTATAGATTCGGCCAGGTGGAATGGATGGAGAGCGAACTAGGCTGGGATTGCCTTACCCCGAGTGTCCCGAGTCACCAGACGGAAAAGTTTCAGACCGAAGACGCGTACTGATTGGTCGCCTGCTGTTCGCGCCTTGTCACGCCTTCCCATTCTGATGCAGTGGGTGTTATCGCTGCCTGTTATCTCAGGCATCAAACCTGTTTTCTCACCCATACCCATATGTGACTTGTGCGACCGGCCATTCAGTCATCGCTTCATCTTCCCCCCGCTCGACAGGGATTCGGCTTTGATGCATGAAAAGATGAAATACGGAGTACGGAGTATTCGAACTATTTTTAAGTACTCAGTAGGTTGAGCAGCCTCAAGTCATACCTACGTTTTAACTACGTAAAGTACTTAAGTACCGTAGCCCCCATCCTGTTCTCTTGGAGGCTGCCGTGGGCTTCTCTGCCCGTGATATTCGCTTCTTCGATCCAGGCAAGCTGAGCATGAAGTATTAGTACTCTATTATAAGTTACTTTATCAAGTTTTCAGGATTGCCAGATCTTGTGTACTGTACTCCTGGCCACTGCACGCATCCTTAGTTTCCTGATTGGGCCCGGCTGCTATGACTCCTCAAATCTCATGATGCGCGGCTTGTCGATCTTTGCGACTTGGATAGGTCAGAGTGCGGAATATCTCTGCTCCCGGGCCCGGAGTCTCCAACTCATAGTTATACACACAAAGCCACTCACTGACTAAGCCCGGCTTATGACCTTGCTATGCAGCACTTCCCCAAGACCCTGTGATCTGCAAGGGCGATCGATCCCTCCCTTCTGATGCAATAACCGCAATCTCACCGCCACTGATTGGAACACGCCCCTGTCCATTGTTCAACCACCAGCAATGTCTCTTAGCAAATGATTGGTGCTAGATGCAAAACCATCCAGAGCCTCAAAATACCAGAAGATGTCTATTGCTGGATGAGTGGTCCCGCTGCTGGTCACCATCCATCAACAAATGGCGGCAATGCGCTTCATCACTGCTGGCCGGCCGGCCGGCCGGCTAGGTGACTGACAGCACAACCCCATTTTGCCTGCTGTATCGGCCAAGCCATGTTCTGATCCCGGCCTGCTTGTCATGAACATGTCACCTTAACCCATAGTTCATCATGAGCTACAAGTATGTCTACACCACAATCATCTCCAATAGTCCAAATGCTTGCTCGAATTCCAGGTCTTACTGCTCGAGGGCACGGTACTGATTGCCAGCAAATAGAGGTTCTGACAGCCACCTGCGCCGCCCGCATTCCTCAGCAACCCTTGCGTAACGCTTGAGGAACGTTGCACCTCGTCAAGCAAGCAACCGCGCTGACCGCTAGGCGTTCCCCGTTCGAAAGCTTGGATCACCTGGGGACCACTACTCTCTTCGTGCCCATCTCTTTTGCCGTGCAGACAAAGAGTCTGCTCGTGACAATGGAACAGAAGCCCTTGAGCTTTCACGTACCAAGCACCACATGTCGCGACACGAGGCAGAGACAAGAGACAGAATGGGATCCCGTCAGCGAGCAGAGGCTTCTGCGCAAGATGGATTGGCATCTCATGCCTGTCCTGACTCTCCTCTATCTGTTTTGCTTTCTGGATCGAGGGAACATCGGCAATGCCAGGATTGAGGGTATGGAGGAGGACCTCCATCTAGTGGGTTCACAGTACAACTGGGCTCGTATGTGCTAATCCCTGATCGCCTGGCTATAATCTAACGTTCTAGTCACGGTGTTCTTCTTCACGTATACGGTCTTTGAGCTTCCGTCCAATCTGATCTTGAAGAAGATCCGCCCATCCATATGGATACCTACAATTATGGTAGCTTGGGGAGTTGTCATGGTTAGTCGCAACATGGCCTCACAGCGTAGCTGTCTAACAGTCTGAAGACTTTGACGGGCGTCGTCACAAGCTATTATGGGCTTCTTATCGCACGGCTTTTTCTCGGGATTACTGGTATGGCATTGTTTAGATTGAGCGGGGCTATGATGGATGTGTCCTGATGTTCTTGTAGAAGCCGGTCTCTACCCTGGAGTGGCCTACTACATCACCATGTGGTATTCCCGTCACGAGGCACAGCTGCGCCAAGCGATATTCTTCAGCGCCGCAAGTTTTGCAGGTGCTTTTTCAGGGATTCTAGCTTTTGCGATCGGAGTATGTGCCGCAACCCCACTGCCCTTGACTACATTCTAATGAGCTGCAAGAAAATGGATGGCGTCGGAGGCTACTCTGGCTGGCGCTGGATCTTCATCATTGAGGGTATTGCTACGGTCGTCGTTGCGGTTGGGGCCTATTTCCTTCTGTACGACTACCCAGACACCGCCTCATTCCTTACAAACGAGGAGAGAGCCTGGATCTTGTATCGCCTGCAGTTGCAGTGGTCCGACAACGGAAACGTTGTGCCAGATACCATTGAGTTCAGGTGGAAGTATGTCTGGGATGCTGTGTGCGATTGGCAGGTCTATCTGGGGATTCTTAGTACGCACCATCTCATAGGCACCGTCATCCACCAGAATCACCGCTGACTGTCACAGTTTACCTCGCCATGGTGTGTCCGTTGTACGGCATTTCCTTCTTCCTCCCTACGATCATCAAGGACCTCGGTTTCACATCCTCAGTGGCCCAGTTATTGACTGTATGCTTCTTATCTCCATTTCGATGTGATCTCAATCTCACTGCCTAGGTTCCTCCCTACGTGGCTGCCGCAGTCGCCGCTATCGTGTCCGCTTGGTTTTCCGACCGCATGGGTCAGCGCTCCCCGCTGCTTCTGTTCCATCTCTGCTGCATCGTCTGTGGATTTCTAGTTTGCCTAGCGGGATCTTTGACATGGGTTCCGGGAGTGATCTACTTCGGAGTCTTCCTTGCAGTTCTCGGTACGAATCTCGTTCCTAGTCTACCTGCCTCATAACTAACGATCCAAAGGAATCTACCCTGCTATTCCAAACCTTGTTACCTGGCTCAGTACCAATCTCGCCGCCAGTCACAAACGCGCTGCCGGAATGGCCATGTATATTGGCATTGGCAACTTCGCAGGAGGTATGCTGATACCCATTCTGCTACCTGCAGCCCCATCATCTTCCAAAAGTACTAATTTGTTGCAGCGATGGCGTCGCACTTCTATCGCACACAAGACGCCCCTCGATATATCCTCGGCCACTCCCTTGAGTTGGGATTCGCTCTGATGGGCGTGATCTGCGTGATCGGGATGAGGGTGGCCTATCAGCGGATCAATGCTCGACGAGTGGACAAGTTGGTCGCGCTGCGACCGGAGTATACGATTGACGAGTTGAGAGCCATGGGAGATAAATCGCCGACCTTTCGGTACATGTTTTAGTTTACCTCGAGGTACTTGCGTGATGGTCATGAAATTAATCCCGGTGTGACTTCGTTATCGATTTACCTGTACAAGGATCTTCCTCGTAGTACTTAGCGACCCCAATCTTATCCCGATCGAACCTGTCCTCATATAAACATCACGTGATGCTTCCGCCGGATCATCCAAGCATGCGGCTCTCCTTCAGAACCTCTTCTTGAATGATTGAACCCAGCCCATATCCTGCTTGTCTTCAAGCGTCCCTGGGATTTATCCTGTTTCTGCAACTGAGATTTTATGTGTTCAACTCAACCCCACCGTCCCAAACCACGACGTTGACTAGCCAGTTCCTGTGCATGGGGCGAGATCCGACCTCCACAGAAGGGATCCGATGGAATTCAAAAGCATGTATCGAATTTCCAGAATCGACACCGAGCCGTTACAAGCAGGATGAGGGAATGGAGGGATAAAAGGCGCTGAGCCAAGGTCCTAAGAAAATTTAGAATCACGCTATCCAGTCTCTGGAAGAGACTGCAATGACGACACCTCGCTCTGATTCAATTGTAATCTACTCATTCCTGACTATGCTGGACCCCTCGTTCCTATCACCAACCAATATCAGATAACAGGGGCTTCATTCTTCGACATAAGGGATGGTAGTAAAATTAACCCCGCGCATCGCAGATACCATACTTAGTCACGATGCGCGTTGACAATCCTGAATCCGCCGAGTGATGGAAGGGCTCAGAAATCGACCATTGATACAGCGTTCAACGTCCTTTTTCACCTCATCCGGACATCTGAACCCTCCGAAGCGAAAGCAAGAAACCCAACCCCACGAAACCACCCAGTTTGTCCGGATGTTGATATAGTTATACCCACACTCAAAAAAGCCAGAAAAGGCCCCAATACAACATAACCCACACCCCACCCGCACAGACTGCCCAGCATTCTCAAGCTACCACCTCCAGCAAACCACACAGCGAGGCCAAACCACTCAAATAACCTCACACTCAATCAGACTCTCGACCCCCCTCCTCGCAGTCCAGATCTTCACTACCCGCAGCCCGTCCACGGACTCCACCAGCGCCCGCCACTGGCTCTCCGTGCGCTCCGTCGACGAGAAATTCGCCATCATGATGATATCCAGGCTCGTGGTCTCCCAGTACGCGTTCGTCTCGGGAATGACATTCTCGTTGATGAGGAGCTTACTGTGGCCCTTCCGCATGGCGGGGACGAGGTTCGCCAGGATGCGGCGGCAGTTGTCGTCGGTCCAGTCGTGCAGGATGGAGTGCATGTAGTATGCTCTTGCGCCTGTGCCACTTATCAGCAATTGAAATGCGGAAGCGGAAGGGGGAGAGTGGACGCACCCTTGACGACCTGCTCTTCGAAGAAATCATGTTCCATCAGCTCAAGCTTCGGGTTCAGGTTCAGCTCGCGCGCTTGGGACACGACCTCGGGCAATTCCTGCACGATCAGTCGACCAGGCAAGTCGGGCCACTTGCGGTGGAACTCGGACAGGTCGTGGCCTATTCCGCCGGCGACGTCGACTAGTAGGACATCGTCGGGGGTTACGGTGGCTTCCTGCACCAGGGTTTGCACGGGTGGAACCCCAAGTCCATCCAGCTGGGCCGGCCTTGGTGGTATACGGACATGTGATTGTTGAACTCGCTGGCGTGCTGGGGGTGCTGCTTCAGGTAATCGAAGAAGTGGAGGTTGGTGCCGAAGCCGCGCTGGAAGGCGCATTTGGTGCCGTCGTTGGGGAGCATGTAGCTGGTTGCTTTGAGGTGGGCGGGGAGAGCGAGCACTCCTGCCGTGACGCACCCGGACCTTTTTTAGGGAGAGTGAGACGGAGTTTGTCTCGGTTGTGGGGGGTCACTTACATGCATGGGTAGGCGTCGCTGTAACGAGGCGACTGCATGGAGATAGAGAACCCGGTCCGGCGGTATTCGTCTGGTCCGGTCTCCTTGATGACGCCCATTGCGGCTAGATGTTTGAGGATGCGTGCTAGAGGGAGCAAGACGATATTAGCTCACGCCGACATTGAAGTTGGAATGTGAGGGGGCCATACACAGCATCACCTGGCTGACCCCGGTCGCCGTTGCAAGCTCAGCTGCAGACTTCGACCTGTCATCCCGCGACAGCGCCGTGAAAAGATCCAGGTCTACTCCTATCTCAATGGCCGCGTAAAGCGAGCTCTGAGGGACGTCAACAAGAAAACATGCGTCAAGCGCGACGGAGGAAGAGTATGCTGAAAACACATACCTGAGACCAGCAGTGTCGGATGACTGCCTCGCGCGGCGTCTCCAAGGCATACACCAGCGAGCGGGCGGAATCCAGTATCTTGGTTCTTTCGAGCTCGTCATTCTCTATGAGGTAAACCTCCCCGTGCAGCGCGATTCTTTTCAGCAGTCCAGGTACCTCCTCCGGGTCGTTGGGAGCGATCGCGACATGGTTGTTGGTGAAAGCTTCTTGAGTGGGCTTTTTGATATGGCCGTTGTTGTGGCAGTTCACTGTGGCATCGGTTGAACTTGGCATGTTGGCTGGTACTCCACGAACACAAGATTAATGTGACGGCACAAGATCGAGATTGCAAGGTGGTGAATTGAAGCGAACCTCAACCAGCGCGATACAGTCCTAATATAATGGAGGACCATCCTGGCTTGCGCCAGTAGCGCTTGACCCGGCAAGTCGTGGACGCCATGCGAGAGAATGAGTTTTCGTACCCCCCGAAGTGTGCCAGCAATATCCATGAGAAATATGATGGGCTAGAAGAGACGGAGCTAGGGTGTCGCACAAGTACGGGGGGAGATGTGGAGATGACAGCGCCATGGTTCGGCAGGAGTAGAGAACAGGATATCCTTGACATCTGCGCCTCCGTCTCCCCGGACAACAAAACAATTCCCGAGGCTGTGGGCTCACGTTACACCTTTTTTGAATTTGAATGCATCGCTATCATTGACTCAGATGGCCTGTAACTCGTGTCTTCCATCTGTCCGGACCATCTAGCAGTAAGAGATTTGTTGCTTGCTCCCCAGTCTTTCTAGCGAACTTACTAATCTTCTCTCACTTTATAGGCATCCATGAAACATCTGCCCTTGAGAGGGATTGATCGGTTCCCTAACATCTCCTAACACCTTCCACTGGGATATTTAAAAACTGTATATTTCCAATATGAATCCATCGTCCTCAGAGTCTGCTAGTGATGACAAAGTACCAACGATCTTGATCGTGTCATGGACCTTGACAGTTCTAATGATAGTCGTGGTGACGGACCGCATCTACATCCGAGCAGGCTTGCTGCACCATCTTGGGGTAGACGACTGGCTGATTGTATTTTCGCTGGTAGGTCTACCCCGCCTCCGCGAACGACGCAGCTGATAAGAAACCAGCTTATGGGACTCGTATGCTGCATCTTCACGACCATCAACGTCAGACTCAGCTTCGGAAAGCACGCGTGGTTGTTGAGTGCCGCCATAGTCGAACATGCAATCTTCCTCAACTGTCTCCGTTTTCTCACGGCATCATCTCATTTACCATTCTCAAGCTAGCGGTGACCGCGATGCTGAATCGGATCCTGAATGCCAGCCACATTCAACGTGTTTGCCTCTAGACACTCAGCACACTGGCAGCGATCATATCTGGAGTATGCATCATCATTCTGTTCACCATGGGCGACCTACCTCGGGCTCTGTGGCAGACCAGCCTTGTCGCGGAGGGCAAAGCTACCTGCAAGAATTTGTGGATGTTGATTGACTACGCCATCTTTACTGGAGGTGTGCCACTTGCCCCAAGGATTTCGATCGAGAAGAGGCTAAACGCAATGGATAGCTCTATCCGGATTTGTCGATCTAGTCCTCGTGAACTATTCCAGCACCGTGCTGATGAAGTCTCATATGTCGCTGCGCAAACGCCTGACGCTATGCGCAGCGTTAGGCCTCGGCTCGGGGTATGTTCGGCATTCGTTCGCTGTATGTATGAAGTGACCACGATGCTCGTGCCACGGCAATGGCTGTCTGGCTGACCAAGAAGCCTACACATGTGCGCTCCCTCCCCCTCTTGCAGTGCGTGAAACCAACGATCAACAGACGAAACCGCAGACCTGATCATCTGGACTAAGTTGTTCCTCTGGTTAATTACCACGGACGAATCAACCCTAACCAGAGACAGGGCATCGAGTCCAGCGTCGGGATCATCGCTCCTTGTATACCCACGCTTCAGCCACTGCTTGATCTAATGCTTGGCAACCGCACTGCGAGCTCATACAACAGCAGTCGCAAGGGGTCCAATTTGCCGGAGTATTCCCATGGGAGCCATAGCAAGAGCTTAAAATTAAGGAAGATGGATTTTGCTGTTGCAACCGCCGAAAGCCAGAAGAATATCCTCTCTCATGCAAAGGGGAGAGGGGGGTCATATGCTGGTGATCATTCGGCGGACGGATGCCGTGACCGTTGAGCACGAGCATGTGAGAAAAGGGAAGCTGTGATCGTGCGGTCGCCGACTGTGTGGTAATTGTTTGCATGGATTAGCACACAACAAGAGGATCTTTCCCATACACCGACTCTTCCCAAGCTCAGAAAAGATTACAACTGGCCTGCACCAGCCCCATCTTAAGGAATACAAACCTGCTGACTAGGCGAGCCAGTCAAAACAACCGACCCTTGGACTGTTTCCGACCAGCAGAATGATCAAACCTGCACGAATCCACTGAACTCAACCCCAACAAGAAACCGTACAAAACCCCCGTGACAGAGGCGTACGCAGAAAGCAACCCCCGAAATTCGAAGTCCAGCAACCAGTGCTGTGCACATATCATTATTCAAGCGAACCGAGAAGAAATTCGCCAAGCATTCCAGGAATGCAACGAACACGCTAATAGACACCACACATATCAATACTGTACAATGGTCCGCAAGCCATTTATCTCCTCACGACTTGGCCCTAGGATCCTTCCACAGGGGATCCACGAAATACACGAACCCATGCGCCACCGAGGCCGCCAGCGGACCGACCTGAGTATTGTCAGCAGTGTTCCTTATTAGGCGATCGCCTCGGGAAAGGAGCAGAACCACCCCACTCCGCAAAGGGGGGTAGGCAGAGAAAACTCACCCAATGAATCCAATGATACCCCGGAAACTCGGAGGCGACATACGCCCCGAAACACCGTGCCGGGTTGACACCTATCACTCGCATTAGCCTTCACCTGGACCCCATCACCCCCAAACTCAACCCCTAAGATAAGGATACATACTGGCCCCAATATACCCCACCCGGGTAAACGAAGTCCCCCACGTAATCACACCGACCACCACACCCACCAACCACGGCCCGACCGCGGGCCCAAACACCTTGGCCTGGCGCGGATCCAACGCCACCCCGAAACACAGCCACACGATGATCAGACACGCGAAGAACTCGATCACCAGCCCGCTGGTGACCGGCACCTGGGTCGTGTCGATGTAGCACCCGCCGACCGTGATGTTGCGGTCACCGAAGGCGGCGTGCAGCGCGAAGCCGGCGAGCGCGCCGCCCAGCGTCTGGCCGAGGATGTAGAGCACGGCGCGGGGGAAGGAGATGATGCGGGCGAAGAAGGTGGCGAGCGTGATGAGGGGGTTGATGTGGCCGCCCGAGCTGGGGGAGAAGGTGTAGATGAGCAGCGGCGTGAGGAGGAGGTTGGTCAGGCCGCCGAAGGTCGGGGAGAAGAAGGTGACCGTCCCGTAGACGCCGGAGGCCGCCGTCGAGGCGGTCATGGGCGCGTACGGGTGCGTGGTGACCCAGGCGGAGATGAAGGTGTTGAGCATGCTGGCTATTTCGGGGGATTAGCATCTTGCTGCTTTCGGGCTGATCTGAGTTTCCAGTATAGTATGGTGGTGTCAGGGGCACGGGCACGGGCGCGGGCGCGGGCGATCCCCGATCCCCGTTGTTGCCCTATGACGGCGAGGAGGCGAAACTCACCAACACACTCCAGCATGGCGAACTTCCACAGATCCGGCGACAGGAACCCGCGCAGATCGAAGATCTCCTGCGCGTTCATGCACGGCGCCGCGTCGGGCACCCGGTCCAGCTCCGCCAGGTTCTTGGGGTCACTGCGGTCCAGCACGAAGTCCTGGTTGCCGCCGATGCGGCCCGCGAAGGGCGAGTTGGCCGGTTCCAGACCATGCTCGCGCAGATGGTGCGGCGTCGCGGGGGGCATCACCGTCTCCTCTTGCTCGTACTCGGGGAGATAGGGCACCGCCATGTGAGGCAGACACACGAACGGCAGAGATAGCAGCGATAGCAGAGATACAAGGGGGAGGATGTGTCAAAGGTCAGAGATAGAAGAGATAAGGTCCGCTGGGGAGAGGAAAGGCAAAGCTTAAGCTTAAGGGGCAGTGACGGGTAAACTCGCTTAGATGGCGATGCCCCTCCCCCCCCCTCTCGCATCCGTAATGCTATCATCATCACCTTCCAGGCTCCCAACCCGATCTCGGTGTCCTGCAGGATCAAGCGTATCGGGATGAAACGGAGCTGCACTGGAAGGGTGGAAAGTGTGGACAAAGGGATCCTTCGGCTCGGCTAACCGGCCCATCAGACCCCGGATTCCTGTGGGGTGGGGTGTCTGCAAGTTAGACTTTTGCCGAGATAGAGAAGCTTTCTGGAATATGAATTGGTCACTGGGTGCTGTCCGGGGTTTGCAGGCCAACCAGACCCAGAGCAAAGGCAGATAAAGTCTGGCCGATGCTCGGGTGGTTGCTTACCCGCCGACTGGGCCACGTTGTTTGGTGTGCTTCACTGCTTGTACGGGGTCTGGATCTATTCCTGGCAATCTTTTAGAGGTGGATGTTTGGAGTGTACATCTGCCCCCTGCTGCTAGATCTTCCTCTGTATGAGAACGAAACCAACTACACATCTTCAGTCCTAATTACTCTCAACAATCATTCACTCTTCCTACCTTCCGGATGAATCTAGTACAGTACCGTGCAAAGTCAAAATAATGACAGCGGCACGGAAACAACGGCAACGGCAACAGCAACAGCAGTGCGCAGTAGCGTAGAGTTTTCGCCCATCGCCCATCGCCATAGTGGAACCCCACCCAGCGTGAAACCCGCCTTGGCAAGAACATGTCTGTCCACTGCTCGGCCACTGTTTTTCCGCCAGTGCGTGCCCCCTGCCCTGCACAAAATCCCACCTAGCAGCATCAGGTAAGTTACGGAGTAGGGTTGGTTCCTGGCTAACGGTCTTTGCGAATGTGGTCTTCCGTACGGTAGTTCCCAAAAACCCCTGGACATTCACGCCCCCCCCCCCCCCGATCAGACATCAGACAATCCCAGGTTCCGGGTTTTGCCTATCACAACCCCAAAATTGGGAAATCGAATCGCGTACTGCGTCGCGGGATTCGGCACTGCAGTCAGGCTTGCGTTGCCCTTTTGGTAGGTGGTCGCGTGCTTTTGTCTTCTTATGCTCATAGGTAGATCCTGTGGAGTATGAGTATCTATGCGTGAGACTGTGGGTGCAGGGGGTGTGTCTTGTACATCGTAGAGCTCTACTAGTACCCCATGCCTCTACTTCTATAAGCCGTACGGCATGTCGTGCTGGTAGCCATACAGTAGATATCTTTGCACGATTTTTGACGGTTTTCGGACATGACGGACCCTTGCGGGGTGTATGATCTTGCGCTTGATATATTCTCCCTCGAGACTGGTGTAATGGCAATGCAGTGGCAACTGGCGGGAAATGCCCACACGATAGTTGTCGGAAGGTCAGGTCATGCATCTACAAAAAAACCACAACATGCAGACGAACACGGAACCAGGACACCATTATGCCATTCTGCCAGCAGATCCGGTCCGGTGAGGAATAGCAACTTCAATGATGCGAGCGGCCTTCCACAGCAAGATTATACTCAACCATGCACACAATATCCAAGGACCGACCGCACAGCATAGTTACGAGTACGACCCGCGACGCCACATCGCTTGGAACATACTTATTCCGGCCCCGGAGCCGCGGCCTCGGTTCTGCTTACGCCGTCTCCGCCGACCACCGACCACTCCCTAAATCCGAAATACCACGATGCACTCAATTACAAGATCATATTATGAAACAACACATTCACTAACAAGTGCAGAGATAACACGTTATAACGTCAGTCACCGACCAAATAAATCAAGGCACGAATCTCCTCCGTCACGTTTCCTTCCCCGTCATCATGATGGAACACCTTCACCATCAGTTAGCAATCATCCCCTAGCTTGACGCAACAAACTTACACTGCGAATAAAAGTCATTCGAGTACGTGCACTTGTACCCGCTCACGCAGACGGTCGCTCCCGTCCAGCCGCTGCCGCCGCACTGCGCGTACGCCGAGGCCGTCGCGGTGCTGCCGCTCGACGTGGTTGTTGTGGTGCCGGTAGTCTTCGTTGTCGTTGTGGTAGTTGAGCTGGCCTTCGAAGTCGTGCTGGAAGAGCTAGTCGTGGTCTTCACGGTCGTGCTGGAAGAGGTCGAGGCGCTGGTGGTGGTCTTCAACGTCGTCGACACCGTCGTCGACACCGTCGTCGAGGTCTTGGAGGTGGTCGCCGTCGCCGTCGCCGTGGCGGACGGCAGGCTCCCGCTGGGATTGCCGTAGAAAATGCCCCGGCCGTTCGTTCCCACGAACACGCGGCCGTAGGTCTGCAGATCGCCGTTCACCACGTTGGCGGACGCAGAGCCGAACCCGTGCGACGCATCCGAGATCAGCTGCCAGTTGGTGCCCGCGTCCTCGCTCTTGAACAGCCCCGCGGCACCGTCGATGGTGAAGAACCCATAGATCACGACGTAGCTGCCCGTGGAGGACGCCTTGCCGAACCCAAAGCTCCAGCCCGCCGTGACGCCGCTGCCAATCTGCGTGAACGTGCTACCGTAATCCGTGGAATGCCAGAGGCCCTTGTCGGTCGACGCCCAGACATCTCCGGCGACGGAGGGGTGCGCGCGGATGGCGTTGACGGTTGTGCTGGACCCCAGGGTCACGGTCTTGGTGAAGGAGGTCGCCGTGTTCTTTGACACGTAGATCGCGCCTGCTGATCCACCATAGAAGACCGTGTTGTTGGACTTATCCGAGGCAATGACTGCCCCAGACGGGAGAGACGAGACTGCGGTCAAGGTGCCCTGCGACTTCGACACCAACGCGCCCGAGGTGCTGGACATGAGAAGCACCGTGTCACCGTCTGCGGACAGAGCCACCGCTCCGGTGCCGGTGCTGGTGGAGGCGGCGTAGTCTGCATACCAAGTCGAGCCGAAGTTCGATGACAGGGCGAGAGTCGGGTAATCGTCGCTAGCTCCGGACCGGACGATGTTGGAGGGCTTGTTGCCGGCGTAGTCGATTCCGTTGGTCGTGCCGTAGGTCGGCGTGTGGAACGCTTGGTTTGGCGCTGCGTCCAGATTCGAGTGGTAGAACCCACCGTCGTCGCCAACAGCGGACAGCAGTGCCGGTCCTCCGGGCGGCGTGATCAGTCCAAGCACTGCCATCTCCTCAATACCGACCGCCAGGGATTTGACCGTCACATTGTGCTTCGAGTCCCAATTCGTCAGGTCGTGTCCGCCATATACTGTCAGACCCGTACCATAGAGCCAGTGGTTGGAGTCGAACGGATCAATAGCAAGGGCCTCGACCATCCATCCGACGCGAACAGGGAACTGGTCGGTTGAAGTCGTGTCCTGGATCCAGGGGGCGTTGCTGATATCATAGCTGTAGTAGTAATTGATGCTCGGATAACCGTTCCACTCCCAGATAGGGGACCAGGTCGCACCAGAGTCAGTGCTACGCCAGATGAGTTCATCCGGCCACCAGCAGTTGAGTGCAGCCACCATCAAGGTGCCAGGGACTTGGAGGTCAACTGAAAGACCACCGTAACCGTAGTAGGTACTCGCAAGGGAGGTGGGACTAATATCCGTCCACACTCCGCTGGTGATGTTGTACTTGTGGACCGTGCCGTTTGTGCCATCGTAAGGACCAGCTCCATTGGCGTAGGAGATGTACAGCGTCTTCTCCTCAGGGGACAAGACCCCCTTGTGCGGGAGGAAGCCGTACTGAGGCTCTCCGGACACCCAAGCCCCTGGAGAGTCAGCGCTGCTTTCAGTTGCGGGCTGATCCAAACTCACAAGAAGCACCCGCATCCTCCGACTTGAAAACCGACTTTCCAGCATCCGCAACGCCTATCGACACGTCAGAAGATGATTCCGCTTTTGCGAGGAGTTACCCACCGACAAAGATCCTCGGTGTCGCAGACCCCGAGCTACCAGAGGTCGAATCAAAAGTCACCCAAGCGATACCCACGGGGTCCGAAGTATAGGTCGAGCTCGAATCCTGGAAATACGTTCCTGCACACACTTAGCCAAACCCTATTTGCCAGCACCGAAGAATCATACCAGTCCAGGTAAAGGAAGTGACATTCGACCAGGTCGCTCCATAGTCCGTACTCTTCCACAAGCCGTGCCCACTCCGCGCTCCAAAGTAGAGAATGCTATTCTTGTTTGGGTCGACCGCTAATCTCTGCATTGCATCAGCTTTCCACTCAACTCCAGGAAGGGAACGCAACCTACCTCACCCATGCCGCGACCAGGCATATTCCCGCCAACCTTGAACGGCAGCTTCGTCTCAGTCCAGGTATCACCCTGGTCCGTCGAGCGCAAGATCGATCCCACATTGGGGTCCCATTCGTTGGTATACATGCCCACCGCCACGTACAGACGGTCAGTGTCGACGGGATCCGTGGCAAGGGCATCGATGCCCCAGTCATGCCTGAGCTCGTTAGCCAAACTGTCCATACCGTTGCCAGGAAAGCAGGGCAGCCCACCAGGTATCATTTCCCACCCAATCCATCAACGGGGTCCACGTGTCGTCCGAGTTCAGACGGTACGCGCCTCCGATATCCGTGCGCGCGTACGCCACCCCTTTGGCGGAGGGATTGAAGACGATACCGGGAGTGAAACCTCCTCCGCCTGTTTGCGTCGCAGTCAGCAATCTTCATTCCAGGGTAGGTGACCAGAGAGAACAGACCACCTGTGACGACATTCTTCCACGTGTAGGCCTGCGACGCCGCGGCGTCTGCGAACTTGCCCAGAAGGGCTGCACATAGCAAGGCCAGGCTTGATCGGGCCATGGCGCTGAAGATGGTGGTTAATGGCTCAAGCTCGGTTGATCGACGGAGAGAAGTGGGTGCACCCCAGGTCCTATTTAAGTCACCCTCCTCATGATGGCAGGAACCTGGTGTGTAGACATTCCGATACCTGTTCTTGGCTTAACTCAGGTTTAATTTCCGGTCATGCCCTCCTCGGAGTTTACCCCGCCTTGCCGCTCGACCGGATTGGTGTCTTGGTGGGAATCATGGTGATATGATCCATCGCGCAGATGCAGTGTAGGCAACAGAGGTAGCTGTAATGCAATATGGCTTTGATTAGCCTGTCAGCTAATCACAGGCACGGACGATCGTGTGACACGCACCTTGGCAAGCGGAAGGCGTCCGAAATGGGCCAAGAAGTGAAGAAACGGATTGTCCACGGACGTTCCTCCGTCGAAGCCTCGTCGCACTCCCCTGTTGATCAGGGGTAATATGGATAAATCCCGGGCGGAGATGTCAGGACGCTAAGGCAGGCTATCACTTGCAGGATGGTGTTCACTCCTTCATGCAGGGGATGGGGCTTGGAGGAGCGATGAAGAACAGGTAATAGGTTGAAGAAGTAGAGATGAGGGGAAGGTGACGAAAAGACTCACTACTGCCTGCGATCCCTGCTAGTTAACTAGTCAGTGCTAGTCCCTCCACGTGCCGCTGCCGCACGGGTACCTGAACATTCAGGGTGTCACCTGCCGGCCTCTGGTCTCTGCCTCATGACGCCATTTCTCTGCTCGCATCCACCCTCCTCGATCTATCTCTATAACATAATCGGCCGTCGGACCGAGTCGCCATATTAACAGGAGAGCTGATCGGATGGGCAGTCCGTGCTTTATAGGGCACGGAGGTATATTGGTAGGCTACGTCCATTACCACAACCCCCTTCACTCGAAGGCTAAGGCGACCCTCCCAGAGATCCTCGACGCCTCACAGCTCAAACAAACTTGCTCGAGTCCATATGGAAGATACTCAAAGCCTCGGACACTCGAGTTCCCACAGCCCCAGCTTCCACCGCAACATTCTGGATCCTCTCCTGACTGTCCCGCAACTCTTTCGCTACATCCTTCCATTCCACCCTTCGTTTTGCGATCGTCACCTCGGGGAATGAAGAGTCAATGTCCACCGGCACCAACCGACCGCCTTGCTTGCGAATCTCGCCGTTAACAATGACCGTATCCACGTCGCGCACAGACGAATGCAATACAATAGCCGCGACCGGATGCTTCTCCGCAGCGCAGATCATCCCCGGGCTCTCGCCGTCAAAGACCACCAGATCCGCAAGCTTCCCGACCTCAATCGACCCCAGCTGATCTGCCATGCCGATCGCGCGGGCGCCTTGGATCGTCCCCAGCCGGAAGGCATCTTGCACCGACACGTCCAATGACCGCATATACTTCCCCTGCGCAAGAAGCTTCTCATTCCGGCGGGCGCGCTCACTCTGCAGCGCCAGGCGCATCTGGGTGACGATGTCGCCGGAATTGTTACTATGGCAGTCGATCCCGAGCGCAGTGATGCTCGTGCAGCCATCCTGGAAGCAGACGGGGTTCCCGTGGCCCATTTGCAGTTCGGTGTCGGGGGTGGCGGAGATCCATGCTTTCGCAGCAGAGAGTTTCTCGATGTCGGTGGCCGAGAGGTTATTGCCGTGCGAGAGAAGAATGTCGGGGCCCAGGAGGCCGTAGGCCTCGAGGAGGTCGACCAGGGATCCGTCGCCTATTTTACTTAGTGTCTGCATTCGGAGCCAAGGCGGAAAGATCGGGTTGAGCTTACTGAAATATCCACGCACATAGTGGGTGGTGATCACCTTCACTCCCGCTTTACGGGCACGATCGTACAACGCGACGACCATCTCCTTCGGCAGCATGAACCCGTCAAAAGCCAGACCCAGCTGGACGCGCCCGTCGCCAAACGGCGCCGCTGCGGCCAGCTCCTCGAGTTGTTGGAGGACCCATTCATCGAGCAGGCTGGTGTTCATCTCAATTTCTGGCTTCCACTTCTTGACCGTCGAGGTGGGTGTGTAGCAGAAGATAGATCGGATGCCTGAGGAAGCTGTCGCTGCTATTCCATTTACGGCTGTTGGGCTTGTTAGTTACGACGGCGTGGTAAGCAGGGGGTATAGCAAGCCTTACAATGAGCGGGGGAGACATTCATGTGAGCATGGTCCACCACGGTGGTAGTTCCTGCATCTAAGGCCTCGAGACAGCCTCCCAGCTCTCCCCAGAAGATATCTTCTGGTGTGAAGTTGACCTGTTGCAGGTTTCCTGACGTAATTCAGTATTTGGTTCTCTGCAGAAGAGGCATACTACCCACCCGTGGGCATGTACTCGATCAAGGTATGGTCTGCATGACGTCCCTTGAGCTGGGTCTGCCAGAGGTGGTGATGTGTATCGATAAACCCAGGCGAGATGATCTTCCCGGTGCAGTCGATAACTTGGGTGGATTCGACAGGCGGGCTTATCTGAGGTGCGATCTGCGAGATCTTGGCTCCTTCGATGAGCAGCGAGTGGTTGTGGAGCGGAACGACGTAGTCATTCTGGTCGCCGGAGGGGACCAGAATTGTCGCATTTTGCAACAGGATTGATGACATTTCGTTGTTGGTTCGATCGGGTTGATAAAGTCAACACCCAGGAATCGGCTATCCCTTGGTCGTCTTCGTTGTGATGCTGATCTGGGCCTCAATCCCACGCGCGAACCTGTTTGTTTTATCGGCAGTGTAAATATCTGATCGCCGGTCTAGATGACCGGTGCATTGGTCAGCCTCGGAGCCAAGACGAGCGCGAAACGCGATGCTGACGGGCGGTCCGCGGTGGGTCGACAGGAAGGAGTGGAGCGACGTCATGAGTGAGGGGAAAGCTTCACCTGCTAGGACAGATGATTGATAGCACCATGTTGTATAGAAGATGCATGTAAGGTGAGCATACTGACAAGTGAGTATCGATGATGTAAATTCCAGCAAGATAACCACCACTTGGGCCGTAAGAAGGATAGACGTCACGATGGCCAAGTGCTGATTCCGACTATATATTCTCGTCCGCCCGTGGACGCTGCCCGTGGCTCAAATACAAAAAGAGCCATCAAGCGCTCTAGACAAGGAGGAATACGTTGTATTCTTGAGAAACACCTGTATATTCAAAGAATAGCTTATAAGCAGTGCACAACGAACCCCCCAACGACATATCCCCAGATCTGCAACAGCGAGTGCAAAGCAGCGCCAGATCTGCCGACATCGACCCGACGCGGAGAAGCCATTGCCAGCGAGCCGCACCCTTATCCGCTGACTCAGAATTGACATAAGACAATTTCAGCTTGCCCATTGGCTGAGCCTAGTCACCTGACCGAGACCCCGAGTCCACCAGCAACAAAAGCGCTAATGCAAAGCGGGCTAGCAGTTTGCGCGGGGGCAAATCATGGTGCAATGCTGCACATGCACCGTGCATCTTTCTTCAACAATTCTTCACTAGATCAACTTTGACCCATGAGTACAATCCAAAAAACGAGTAAGATACAAACGAGTAAAGGACGTCCGAGTAATCGGCTGATTAGCTCATCTTCTAATGTAGCAGAGACAACAACCGATCCATACTATGCAACGACACACGTAGATTACAGAGCACTCGTTGGCACTCGGCAGCCTGGAGGACAACCCAGCCGGAAGCAACGGAAGACCCCAAGGCGCTAACATCGGGCCGGAGAATGACAGAACGGGTGAGAGAGAGAGGCGAGGCGGTCTGCAACCCGCAACCCGCAATAGGGGGTTTGTTGCTGTTGCTGCGGTGGCAAAGGTTGGCCTCCCGTCAAGCCACGTGTGGATGTAATAGGGGTAAAGCTGCAGAGCCAGAGACCGAGGGCATCCATGGTGAGGATTTTATGTCTGTGTACGGAGTACTGCATCAGACTCCATACTGTAGTAGGATCAGCAGTGGAAACCCTCCAGTTGGACGATCTCCCGAGGCATGAAGGAAGGGATAACTGATGGGAGGGTCACCACGAACAGACCCAGACCCAGTCTAGAACTACTACTACCAGTACTATCATACCACCACCACGACTAACTACTGTACCAAGCTGATTTAGCATCACAACACAAAACCAACTCCCAACGCCCTCAACACAACCACAACCTTGGAACCCGAGGCGGTGAAGCCGCCGACCTGCCAACCTGCCAATCGGCAACTTCCTCCCCGCATCCGTGCCCCCCAACTGTGCAAGTGAATGTTTACAGAATCGCCCCGATCCGGCAATAAGTGGATCATCGGAGGTGGTAAAATTCCAGAACTAAAATGGCCTCGAGCTGGCGGCGGCGCACAAAACCTCCTTGCGACGGCCAGGGAGTTCATCGCGATTTTTTCTTTCTTTCTTTCTTTTCTTCCCTTCTCTCACACCTCTCGCGACTGCCAATACTCTTCTCCATGACCACCGTCCGCAGCTGAGGATTAAGTGGCACGCTGGTTCTGTCCGCAGAATCGGAGACTCACTCTCCAGAGCAAGCAGATTGCAAAAGACCGCGCAGCTGCATCTTCCACACCCCGTGCAGCAAAATGTCGACTGGAGGCTACCATGTCCAGGAACTCCCCCCGGACCCCAGAATCCTGTCCGGCCTGAAATACCGCGGCTATCTGTACTGTGTGGCGCAAACGGCGGTCTGGACGTTCCAGGCGTATTTCGTGCTGCGGCTGGTGTCGATCCTGAGCTCGCCCGTGCAGACATGGCAGATGTGGGCGACGCTGGCTATCGAGGGGATGTTCGCGCGTGAGTGCACTCCCCACCTAAAACCATCGGATGCGAAACACCACTAACTGCCTCCCAGTGCTATCGCGACAGGACCAGCTCCTCACCGTGGCATCGGGCCGCGCGCCGCCCAACTCGCCGCGCAAGCGCCTCCGTCTGCAAGGCGATGAGAACCTCCCCACCGTCGAAGTCCTGCTGCCCTGCTGCGGCGAGCCCGTCGAGGTGATCCTGGACACGATCCGCGCGGCGTGCACGCTGGACTACCCGGCGACCCGGTTCCGGGTGCGCGTGCTGGACGACGGCGGGTCGGCGGCGCTGCGCTCCGCCGTCACGGAGCTGCAAGCCCGCTGGCCGCACCTGTCGTACCACTCGCGCGGCCGGCAGACGGGCCAGGTGTTCGCGAAATCGGGCAACCTGAACTACGCGCTGCAGACGCTGCAGGCGAAGACGCCGCCGGAGTTCTGCGCGATCTTCGACGCGGACTCGATCGCGGCGCCGGAGTTCCTGCGCGCGACGCTGCCGCACCTGCTGGCGACGCCCGAGGCGGTGCTGGTCACCACGCGCCAGTACTTCTACAACCTGCCGCGCGGGGACCCGTTCTCGCAGTCGCGGCTGCACTTCTACACCTGCCAGAACACGGAGCTGGATCTGCAGCGGCGCGCGATCGACGCCGGGTCCGGGGCGCTGTTCCGGCGGCGCGCCATCGTCGACGCCGGCGGGTACCCGACCTACTCGTTCTCGGAGGACTGGCAGCTGTCGCTGGTGCTGCAGGGCTTGGGCCACGCGACGATCCAGGTGCAGGAGCCGCTGCAGTTCGGGCTCGTGCCGACCTCGCTGGCGGGCCACATCGCGCAGCAGAGCCGCTGGCACATCGGGCACACGCAGCAGACCCGCGTGCTGGTCGCCCCCACCAACGCGACCATGTCCCGCGCGATGCAGTGGGGGATCGTGCTGAACGGGCTGGCCATCACGGGCCGGCTGGTCGCCTTGCTCGCGATCTTCGTGGCGGTGCCCGCTCTCCTCCTCACCGCGCAGCCCCTAATCCCCCCCACCACCCACCTCAAACCCCAGCTCATTCTGGCCACAGCCCACGTGACACTAAGCTGGCTCTTCGCCGCGCTCCAATCCGCGCACACAGACTTCCAAAGCGCCCCCTTCGCCCATCTGGAAAACACCTGGCTCGCCGGACGTAAGTCCCTTTTTCCTACCCCCTCTCCCCCCAACCCCAACCCCAAACCCACTAACAACAAAAAACAGCACACCTCCTTGCCCTCCTCCGCTTCCACCTCATCTCCCCGCGCCCAAAGAAAGGCTCCTTCGTCACCGGCAGCACAACCAACACCTCCAACCGCACCGCCGCGGCCGCCCCGACCTCCCTACAGAACCTGTCCCACAACCTCTGGGACAACGGCATCGGGTTCAGCGCGCTGCTGCTCTGCGCGACGATCAGCGCATTCACCCTCGCCCTGTGGCGGGGTGTCTCCCACCCGCCCTCGCCATCAGTCCTCAAGACCCTGCTCACGGGCGCAGCCTTCCCGCCAATGCTGCACATCACCTTCCTCGTGACGGGCAGCCTCCTCGAGCCGGTGGTGCATCTGCTCGCGCCGCCGGTCTTCCCCGACCGGAACGCGGGGCTGGAGGTTTCGGGAAGCGGGGTGCGCCAGCCCACGGCCGCGGTGAGGGCGGCGTGCGTGCAGCAGCGGAAGTCGATGCCGGGGTTTGTGGGGAGGATGGCGGTTGTGGGGGTCGGGTTGGCGGCGGTGGGGGTCGGGGTTTGGTGGTTGTAGCCCACACGACACTTAGCTGGGGGTGGATGAGATTGGATATGTTGGAGGGGGGAGGGGCAGGTTGCGTAAGTGGGTGGTCTTGGTTTATTGGGTAATTTGGGTATACTGTTTAATAGGCAATCAATAATTTTCAGGTTTGGAGGGTTCGGATGGATGGGAATGTTGGCGGAAGTGAGCTGGAGATTCGGGATGCGGGCGGGTGGACACTGCGATCTTGCTGCCTCGTATCAACTCTAGATCATGACGCATTATGGAAACATGGTCAAGGGGGATGAGGATGAGGGGTTGCACGCTGGTCGCAAATTGCGGTACAACTTTTATGACTTAACCTTGTTCGAGGGACTAAACCATTCCCCACATGAAAGTTATCTGAACAAATTGCAATGGATGTATCGGAACTAATCCTAACTGTTGCATTTCATTATAAACAATTGGCTAAGAATAGTCCGAGCTAGTTCTTAACCAGTATAGATCACACCCTAGTACTACCTAGTACCTGTTGCTGTTATGGTCAAGGATCTCGATGCTATCCTGCCCATCAATGCAGCTCTATGTCCAGCATTACAGGCAAAGCCAACCAGAGCGACAGCATCAATCATCCAGCACCCTCTGGCACCCACCCCACCACTCAAACCGCCCTCGAAATCCCCCATACCACCAGACAAGACCGCCTAAAGAATCTCCGGATTCCGAAACCGTCCCTTCCCCTCCCTCAACCGCCTCCCAAACACCACAATCCCCGCCATCCCCACCACCCCCAACACCGACACACCCCCCAAAACACTCGACCCCCTCCCCACCCCCAGATTCCGATACAAGGGCACCCCGTAATGGATAGACCCCGCCGCCAACGCCGACCGACAGAAGTCGTTCGCCGCGAAGAGACTCGCCGCGTACCGCGGGTACATCTTCGGCAGGTACAGGAACAGACACTGGAAGATGACGAAGACGCCGCCGGTGTAGAGGACCACGCCGATCAGGCTGGGGAACCAGTGGATTTCGCCGGGGCGGGCGGTCCAGCCGAACAGGAAGAGGCCGACGGGGAGGAAGATGGTGGCTGGGAGGGCGGGGAGGAGGTTGCGTTCCGGGGGTGGGGCGGTGTTGTTGTTGTTTTTGCTGTTGTTGCTGTTGTTGATGTTGGGGGGTTCACTGGAAGGGCCGGGTTTGGTTCCATGGTCGGTTGCAGGCGGCCGGGGGGAGAAGATGTACGGCACCAGGATCAGAAAGTACACCGCCGCGGCGAGGACGCATCCCACCAGCACGCTCAGATAGAACAAGGCCAACGTCCCTGTTGAGACCTGGTACCCCTCTAGGTACGCCACGGGAAACGAATCGAAGAAGATGTAGTAGCTCGAGTAGATGAAGGAGGTGTACAGGTTGGCAAAGAGCACCGCGGGGTCCTGCAGGGTGATCTGCACCGGCTTGACGAGGTAGAATTTGAGGCGGGCCCAGGCGCTGATGGTCGCGTCGGTATGGGCAATCCCCCGCCGGAGCCGGACGGTGGGAGCGTACGTCTCCGGCAGCACGAACAGCAACACCCCCACCGGCGCGGACATGCACGCGATCAGCCAGATGGACCAGTGCCACGAGAGCTGGTACACGAGGTGGTCGGTCAGCAACGGGCCCAGCGCCGGCCCGCAGTACGCCGCCGCCGTCCAGAACCCCAACGCGTAGGGGTATTGGGTCTCGTTGAACATGTCGTGCATGCTGGCGGCCCCGTTGGCCAGGCACGGGCTGCCGAAGAAGCCCTGGATCGACCGGAGGAAGACGAACGCGCCGAAATTGTCCACGCTGGCGGCACCCGCCGTGATGGCGATGAAGACCACGAAGCTGCTGAAGTATACCACGGAGCGACCGACGGAGGGGATCTCGCTCATCGGACCCCACAGGAGAGGGCCGGCGCCGTCTAAAGTTGTCAGATGACTCGAAACCTGGAAGAGGTGTATACCTACAGCCCAGAACATAGGCGGATAGCCCGAGCAAAGCCCGCTGTTCGCTCATGCCAAACTGCTTGACCAGCACCGGCACAGCCGACATGTACATCGCGGATCCCGCATAGACCACGAAGCTGACGCAGTGAGTACGAACGAGCACGGCCAGAGATCGAGTCGGCAGACTTACGTATAGGCGTAGATCACGCTGGCGGTGAACACCTTGCGCGACAACGGCCAGTTCTTTGGGTTGGCACTGTGGGCCTCCCAGTCATGGCTGGCTGAAGCGTTCTTGGTTTCTGGGCTAGTAGGTCTCGCAACATTCGCTGATGAAGCATCGTGGTGTGTTGCCCCACGACTGTGACGCAAGGATTGAAGGCAATAGATGATCGGGAGGTCCGACAATGTCTGCAACATGGCTGGTCAACTTGCAGAAACGCTGCGACGGTGTGCGGTTAGACGCACTCCTGAGCGGCGAAACCGAGTATATATGCAACTGATGCACGTCGTACTGTCATTGAGCACCTTTCGATACCTACTTAGTCGACTGTAGGCATCCGCATGGCGAAGGCTCTTCACATCGGAATTCCCCCGCCGCTTGGAATGTGAGCTGGAACCCATTTGCAGATCTGCAACCCGAACAGGTATCATGCAGGATCATGAGCCTGGATGGGAATGTAATTCAACCCAACCAGGGGTTTAACAACTATTCGAGCTTGTTGAAGCCGGATAAGATTAAAGTTGCGAACATGACTCGGAGCGATTCCTCTGACGTCTGAAGCATTCCCGATCAACATGATGAGGGAATCTCCCATGCAGTGGGAGATGTTATGCGCCCGAGAACGAGAGTAGATTCCGTGTGAGGAATGAGAGAGGCGAAGTTAGTCCAGAGTGCGATGATGGCGTCAGAGGGGACATGTGCCATTGTAGGTAGGAAGCCAGCCGGCTAGCAAAGCGAGGATGGACTAGTCATGAGGGAAGCCGGAAGATGGTGGTTGGGATCCGGCCAATTATTTGGTGAATGAGATGTTGATGGGAGTAGAGGGAGAATGAGGTTGATGTTCAGACCAAGGCAACCGCCCGCCGGCTCTGCCTCTAATATCACTAGCACCACAACCACTGGCACCACCACCACCACCAGTACTCACTCACACTCACAGCACTACACACCACAGCACCACCCACCCCAACACCATATCACATTATCCTTCTGAGTCTTGGTACTTACTCCATGGAAGAAGCACGTTCTACCCCGAACATCTTCTCATGCAGACAATGGGATGCAAGTCCCGCCCCAGGCGAGTGGCGACGTTCCACATGGAATCGGTCCGTATGGAATGTCCCAATGTCATACGTGAGGTATGTCATTCATTTGCTGTACGTACTGATTGTCTAGCGGCCAGAATCGACTTCCATCCATCGCTTGGATGCCAATCTCTTTTAGTTCTCAGCACCCACACTCACAACACTTCCCTGCTTCCACCGCGCTTAGCCGACAATAGCACGAGGTCACAATGGGCACATCGGCCGCCGCCATCGCCAGATCCCGGGCCGGCTCGATCAGCCGCGCCTCAGCCAGCTTCTTCTGCCTCACCAGACACTCATGCAACCCATGCAATCCCCAGACATTATTGAGCCGGCCCTTCCGCCGCGGAAACCCCTCCGCCATACCCAGGTCCTCCCGAAACACCCTCTCTGCTTCAGCCACCCGCCCCTGCTCGAGCAACAACCCTCCCAACGCATGTCTGACCGGCTGCATCCATGGCGGCGGATCCCCGTAGGGCAGACCATCCTCCAGCTCGGCCGCGCTCGCCAACGTCTCAAACGCCTGATCCACCTGACCCCGGCGATACTCCAGCTCGCCCTGCAACATCTGCGCGCCCACAGCCAACACATCGACCTGCTTGCTCGGCAGACTCGCGATACGGGTAGTCGGGACCTTCTCCCTGGCCTCATCGAACCGCCGCTGCATCGCCTCCGCCTCCTCCACCCTCCCCAACGCACTCAACGCAATCCCCTTGGCATACAGCACCGTCGCATACGTCGAGCAGTACAGCTCGCGATCGCGCGGCTCCTGCAGCCCAAGAATCTCCTCCCACCGGCCGAACCGCACCAGCACATGCGCGCGGTTCCCCAGGAACGACTCCACCCAGTCCGCGACGGGGGGACTTTTGATCCGCAGCGTCTCCTCCGTCACCAGCCCCTCCAACTGCTGTACGGCCTCCATACTCACAGCGAACTGCCCCGCGATGAGCGCAGAGTACAGCTTCGCGCAGATGTTATGCACGCGGTACGCGACGTACAGCGCGCCACCGACGCCCGCGCCCGTGCGCCCCTCCGCCACGCACCCGGCCACATACGTCTCGTCCGCGCGGATCGCGTCCGAGTTCGACTCCACCGAGCGCCGGTAGTCGCCGACCGCCATGTCGATGTGTGTCGGCATGTGCAGGAGATGGGCGGCGTCGGGCGCTGCGCGCCGCAGCCGGTCCGCGGCCGGCAGCGCGATCTCCGGGTACGGCGACATCTCCATCAGGTGGATGTACAGGTGGCACAGGGTCGGGTTGTGTTGGGCTTTGGGGCCGGTGGCGAACGCGGACTCGATCAGCTGGCGCGCCTCCACCGTGTGGCGCCCGCTGGGTTCCCCCGTCGTCAGGTTCCACAGCCCGCGCGGCGAGATGCACATCAGCGCTTCGATCAGCAGGGCCGTGATGTCGATGTCATCTGGGTGTTCTTTGGAAGCGGTGCGCATGGCGTCCGCGTAGGCTTGATTCAGGCGGGCGAAGTCGATGGGGAAGTTGCTGTCCGTGTCGGAGGCGCCGGTGGATGCGGACCAGTGCGGGAAGCGGGGGAAGAGGGCGGTGATGAGGGCTTTTTCGGCCGCGGTGGTCTTGGTGGAGGGGTCGTTGGCAAGTTCCAGGGCGTGGGTGAGGGCGCCCAGGGCTTTGGTTATGCTCACTGCCAGATCGGCGCGGTCGAAGAAGGCCCACGCTTTGTTGTAGTTGGGGCCCAGACTGTAGGCGATGCCCCAGTGGGCCATGGCGCATTTGGGATCATGTTTGGTGGCAGTCTCGAAGCAGCGCAGGGCTTCCTCGTGGTTGAAGCTGTAGGCCCATTGCCAGCCGCGGGTGAACCAGGTTTGGGCCGCGGGGGAGGTGGTGGTGACTGTGCGGGTGTAGGTGCCTAGATTGTAGTAGACATCGTCGGGTGGGGGGGTCCTAGAGATGTTAGGTCGACAGGACGGTCATAGAGACCGACAGAAGAAAGAAAGGAAAGACTCACGCCATCATGACGGTTGTTCGCAAGATGGAGATGGGAGACGTGGTGTGAGAAGAAGAGTTGTGTTGTGTTGCGGAAGAGAGTCTGGCAAGATAAGCTGGGCTGAACTTATAAGGCGGGAGCGGGGTAAGCAAACGGAAGCAATGCATTGCTCACCTCCCGAGTCGCCGAGCTGCGGGGCTGCTTTAGGAAATGTAGATCCCGCCACTATTGCAGCGATGCATCGCAAGGGATCCGTGCACTGCATCCCTCCATTTGTGGCTCGAGAAAATCGGCGATTGCAGGGGGTGACTGCATATTCATTACACAACAGTACCCCGTAATTGGTAAGTTAGCACTTAAGCATACTGTAGAATTGTCTACCGACTCTCTAGGTTGTTGCAATTCATCGACAATTGGAGCCATCCGGCGCTATGATTATGCTATTGAGCGCACCGATTGCGCAATGCCACACTGATTTCGTGAATCCAAATAGCATAGTCTCAGTGCAGCCGGAGAAAGGTTTTCTGCGATGTCTAGAGAGTAGTGGACATATATGCTTTGAAGTCCAGACTAGAAATAACACTGCGATGATCGGGTGGGACTGTGATGCGGAACCATTTAAACCATCGGCGTCATTTAGGGCCGGGACAGAATAGCATCCCTGGCCCGAGGCAAAGACACCAAGCAAGCACTACCGATTACATTGGAACAAACCATATTATCTGGCTTTTGGAAGGAATCGACGCCACTGGGATGTATTATCTCAGTTAATAAGAAGCAACGTGGTGAATTTAAGTTGGTCAAGATCGATGTTACACAGGGACAACTCTATTCACATACGACAATGATCGAGTTGAATATCAATATAAGGTGAATCACTCGCTGCTGATGAATGTTAGAGTGCCCATCTGGAGTGAACCGTTTCCTCTACCAGCCCTCGAGATGTCTGGAGTGTTTCTTCATCTCACCTTCGAGTCAAACCACCTGCATTTTCTTACAATATCCGTCTTTCAGCTCGGAGGAGAGACGAGTCGGAACAGTCTGAGTAAATTATGATGTCCAAAGCCAACAGAGGTATAGCATCCTTGTCAGACTCCCGTTCTACCTACCTCCGGACCAGGTATGCAGACTTGGATAAAAAATCCCAGGCCAAAGTCCACAGCATAGGATCTACAAGATCGCCGTCGCCGAAACCAGTGACTCCTCGCCAACGGTTGCAGGGTATCCAAGACTAGCCAGCTTGGCGTATTCGGCGTTCTGCAACTACTTGGAGCTTATCCTCTGGGTTGTTACGCCCAACAAGTGAAGAAGAGGGGCGGATCGCAACTGTCTGAATGCTCTTCAATGTCGAAGGTGACCGGGCGGATCTTTTCTTTTGAAGAGATCAAAGACCGAACGGGTCTATGTCCGCCGTGGACATTTGCGGGGTCCTCGTTTGGATGAGCTCCCTTCGAATCCGCCGGTCAGGCGTTTCAGAGCGTTTGTTGTGCGGACAGATAGATTATTCCCTTCCTGGGAACAGAATCCGACAGACCCGAGGCGCAAATGCTGCAACGAAGGAGCTCAGTCCCATCGAAAATGGATCCCTCTTGGCAGTCCTCACCCGGGAGTGAGTGTGCTGTTGTAGTACGATTCTGTCAATCAGCTCAGGCGCAACGCAGCTCTTTAAATACCTGGGACCTATGGACTTGATACCAGATGACTTGGGCACGGATGATAATTGTGTAGGTCGAGACTAAACATCAGCGAATGGAGGTCACGAATGCACGGTATAGAATTCCCATGATGGAAATGTACGAGGTATCCACGCAATGTCTAGATTGTCTGAGGCTATGCAGATAAGCTTAGATCTAGGCTGCCCAACTTGTTGGCTCGTCGATGTCTGCTGATGGCCTCAGATCTAGATTCAAAATACCGATCTGCGGGGGTCCTCCCGAGATCTCGTGCACTGGATACGAGGCCAATTATATACCTTTCTAGCGATGCAGTTGACTAGCACCACCTCAGGGTTTATCTGCGCCTGTTGCGGTGGAAAGAAATGATAGAAACCGATGGCTACCTTACTATGCTTGATACCACAGTTTGGGCAGCTATACTACCGAAGTATGTGCTTTGAGTGGTTCTTCAGCCTGTAGGGGCCCTATTATCACTCAGAACCAATGTCATCTATGGTCAGTGGCCATCACGATGCACAGGTGGGGTCTTCTCCGCTCGGTGTCGCCACTCCAGATCCCTAGATCGCTCACGTGTTCCAGCAACCCGATCGATAAATAGTGTTTTCGAATCTCAGCATCAAGGTCAGGGTTGGCTTCTTGGTTTTCTGGTCTAACGGAATCTGTCTCACAAAGCTACAGCCTTCACATAAGTAGTACTTGGATTTGTGCTTGACTGATCGACTGAAATGACTAGAGTGATCCTTGCTGCTGAAGATATCAAGTGCGTCTAGCCAGTTAGCGTATCGGATTGAGTAAAACCGATTGCAACGAGTTAAGTTCGGCTGGACTAGGGTGAAAGAGGCTTTCGATTAAGGGAGTGGAGAGTGAGGCCGGTCATTCCGGCACGGTTCAGGCGATACCCTAGTCTCGATGGCATTGCTCTAGCAGGGTTAGGGGGCAGCATTGCTGGTAACCTCATCTAGTACAGTCATCATGGTCATAGTCCACGATCTTGTCCAGATACCAGCATAGGGATGATAGCGTGAGATCGTGAGAGGGGCTCCCCGGGAACAAAGGCAAACGTGGGCTGTCTTACGTTACCCAGCCGAGGAACCCTGTATAATAATTCTAGTTGGGTTTGCAATTCTACTAGCATCTAGAAGCGTGAATCTTGTTCTTCCAGTATAGTAAGAAGGTGCTCACGGGTCCCGAGTCTGTTCAATATTCTAGTGTTGTGGTAATGATGAAACTGATTAGACTGAGACTAGTCGGCTATGGAACATGAATGGTACTCGCAATGGTCAAGAAAATATTCTCAGATGAGCCTCTTCGTAGGCATCGCTGCGTGTGTTGTGTGAGGCATCTCCGTCTCTGCCCCATCCTAGTTCTGCGCCGCAAATACTGCTCGAGCAAGCCCCAGACGCCATTTTTGGCCGCTGCTCAGGGCAATGCCATTGGACCCTATTACCGAGTGATCCTCATCTGGCAGGCTGTTGATATGTTGATATAAGAAATTCCCTCGCGCCGCAAAAAGTCACAGTTTCTGAAGAACCAAATAGTACCCCAAGGAAGATGATGCCACGAACGAGGAAATCAAAGGGTTGAGTTCTATACAGTAAGATAATCAATAAACTGGAGAAGAAACGCGTCACAAGGAGATCACCCAAATTGAAGTCGCAAAAGAAAGAAGTGGATCCTCCGCCGTAGGCGATGCTGATTTGAGACAAGAGAGGCTCGCTATTGAAATCAACAACGGGCTTATGCTACAAGGTTGGACAGCTATCTTTTACCAACTGCAACAGAAATCATGCCTCCTCGATTTTGCTAGCTGCAGACAGTAGTCTAAGACTGACGTAGTCTATTAATACAAGAATGATATACTCCCTATCCAAAAACATATACGTGCAAAACAAGAAATAAAAAGAGCCCGGGATACAAACGGTCGACTGTGTTATCAACTCGGCTCGGGTAGAAGATGTTGTCATTGAAGTCCATGCGTTTGCGTCTCCACTAGAAGTCTGAAAAGCATAGCTCAACATTCCACTCAACACTAGAACAGATACTGTGGATTTTCTGCCTGCAGCATGGCGCACTTCCCAATTGAACCGGCACAAAGATCGAACTCTTACAACTGATGACGAGAATTCCATGGGAACCGCAAACACCACTCAACTACTGGGCCAGAGCGCAGTCGAGTGATATGCCTCTCTCCTTGACAAGTGCTACATCAGCCCGGACCAGCAGTAGGCGCAATAACAGTGGGGATCGGGGCTGAACGTACCTGCAATGCTTGGCTCTGGTTGGCTGCACAACAGGCAGACTGAAGGCAGCGGTCGAAACTCTGCTCGCAGGTCTCGTTACTGGGGTAATCAACGCCTTGGTGATGTTAGTCATGATAGCAGTGAACACTCTCAGGACACTTGAAAGGTGCAGCAAGGGACGGAGGTGAATTTACACAAGGTACCCACCCCTGCGCCAACGGGCGCGCCGTTCCCGTAAGTGTCGAGAAGGCCGGGGATCGGCGAGGAGAGATTGTCGGCAGCATAGACGTTTCGACAGCAGCGTAGGGTTCCGGGGCAAGACTGGGCCGCGACCATTAGTCGCGTGTAATTGAGAGAGAATAGAGGGACTAGAAGGATGGGCCGCATGCTAGCAGTGTTACCAAGGGTGAGGAAGATCAATTGAGAAGAGGAATTTTCAAAGATGGATGCAATGGGGAGACAGACCCCTTGCCAGAAATGTGCTGATCCTCTTCGATTAAGTGCTACGTACTGAGGTTGTCGGCCTGTCAGTGATATCACCTCACCCTGCTGTCATATGATAGAATCGATGCGATTTTGAGGGTATGTCTTCGGCGGTGATCCACAGTAGTCTATGCCGTAATCTCTGAGATCGAACTCTATTCTCTGACTCTGATGGCATGAGATGATGCGGGCGTATGCTTCCAGTGCTCCAGTACTGACTACCACGGGTCATGAACAAAGGTCATAACTGTTTACGGAGGGAGGGGGACAGACATGGCCCACCTTGTTCTATTCATCACTCTGGAGCTGGGATACCCACTGGGTCTGGCCCGGACTGCTTTCAGGACATGTAATCTTGAGATGCAGTCAATCTAAACCGCAATTCCATGCAGGCTAGATTACGACATGAGTCCAGAATTCCAGTCGTGACGTGTACGATCTTTCCTATCCCTATCTCATTGGGGAAATTGCAAATACTTAACCAACTCTGTCTCCAGCTCCACGTTGAGTGCTCCCTTATCTAAAGTAAACATTATCGTTTCTCACTTAGAGCCAACAGCCATCGTGCCATTCTTTTATCCCCTACAGTCCAAGATGGTCTTTTCGCATTACATCGCCGCCAGCCCTTACAGTGCTGGCGACAGTGTCCCGTACTGGGTGTGGTTGTTCATCTCGGCCGATCGCAACACCGCCGACAACTGCTTCCGGATCCTCCAGGAAAACCTAGGCCGGACGCTGAAGGTCCCCAGGGGACCGACCTATGGTGATCGACACTTTACACCGCAGGCCATCACGCGTGCGTCACCGCGGTTCTGGACGGTGCAGATCGGCGAGAACAACCTCGAAGCCTTCAGTGGACTGGGGGCGGCGGTGGCGCTCACCTCCGACACCGGCGAGACTGATTCCGTGTTCCACCCCATCAAGGGCAAGATGCTCTGCTACTGGATGGGGGCCTACAGCAACGGCATGTCGCGCGTTCTGCCGGAGCTGGGCCATGGCGACCGGGAGTTCGACACGCTGTCGGGCTACAGCTTCTTCGTGCGGCGCCGGGGCTACACCACCAGCTACTGGTACTGCGACGGCAGCATGATCTACCTGTCCGACACGAAGCGGTCACGCTTCACCATCACCATCACCGACGCCGCGGGCACCCCCTGGACCCCTAAGGCCAAGGAGCGCGTGCCCCTCATCTACTCCGACCACGTCGCCATTTCCTGGTCCACCGCCAAGGGCAAGTCGCTGCGCGTGGGACTCGACGACCAAGACGATGGTCTGATTGTCACCGGCGGCGACCAGCAGATCTTTACCTTCCGCGACTTTAGCGGCCGGTTCTACCTGCGAGACCGCGATGTTCTGCACGAACAGACCCATACCACCGTGCAGGGGGTCTGTTGGTCGGATCGGGTGGCCTTTGAGGACAGTTTTGAGGTCTGTTACGGTAGTCACGCAGATGAGTATCTGTGAGGGGGAATGACCTCGAGGCAAGCAAGGGGCGGGGGATTTGGAGACTGCAATCTTCGTGTCACAGTCCTGTATTGTTTTGGCATTCTTAAAAGCCACAAACATGTGATGACGGTACAGGTCACGGTTTTTGGTAACCAAAAAGTTCCTTCGGTTAGGCTTGGTCAGACACTGGTGCCCAAGTTGGGGAACTGCCGCTTAAGTCGCGCGAAGTTAGGCCAAGCTTGGTGTAGTAAAGCAGCGAAGAGAAATTGCCTTATATCCATAGGGGTTCCGTATCTTGAGACATTCCCTATTCCCGAATGAAGTACGGAGTAGTAGCGTGTAGTATCTGGACATTTCATTGGATGAGGCGACATTCCACAAATTTAAAATAGCACCTGGGGTCGTCCCGAACGAGGGAAGTAAGGAGTGCGGCATACACACATACATAATTTAGTACTGTACATTTCGCCCTTCTCCTGGGGCTGGGAGCCTGCCCCGAAATGCCCCACATCATTCTTCTCGAGATGAATTCTGTGGCTTTTTTTTCTTTTTGAAGTTTCGGTGGGAAAGCCTATATTTAACCAAGTTCGATGACAGCCGCTGTCAACCTGTCACCACTAGAAATAGCCAAGCAAGCAGATAGACAATGGGGGAAAAGAACTCAGTTAGTGTTATTTTTTTTTGTTGAACAAGAAGAGAAAGCCAAAAGAAAGGAAAACTTAAGAGAGAACAGAAGATGAAAAAAAAACAGTAAAGGATTCCTCATTTTAGACAATCGTCCGCACCGTGACATAGTTCCGGGCATTCCGTACGACAAGCCCTAACCTGACAACACCACTACAATTCATCAGCAGCAACCTTTCCATTTCCCGGAGGCCTAACTCCCCACCCACAACTGTTGTAGTGACTCTTCGTGTCGCAAGGAACCTCAGTGAGGATCACTGGGAAACATGTCTGCGGGCTGCCGGGGAGGAAGGTAATGCCTGGAGTATCACTGGAGCAGGCCGCCCCAACCCCTCCGCCTGATCCGCCCAGACAGTAGGAGCCCAGCCCCCATTTAGTCAGGCTGAACTTACCAGCACTCTGGAAATCTGTGGTCTGAGAGATGTGCCGTCCGTTCGATGACCCGTCAACCCAGACACCTCCGTTGAAGGTGTCCCGCAGATAACAAGTGTCGCTGGGGTTGACGGATTTATGGGAGGAACTACAGCTCTGCTCCGTACAGACCTGGAAGCGGCCCATGAGACGATGGCCGTCCGGTAGCGCGAAGGAGTATTCGCCCTTTTCTCCGAGGGACAGGTACTGCCCATTCTGACGGGAGATCAAGTAGCATTTGCCTAACCCGAGTGGGCTCCAAGGTTAGTGCGCCGCTCCCATACCTATACCATTCTACCGGAAAAGAGAAAGCCCCTACGTACCTGGATCCACCCCGGACGGACACTCCACCGGAGGCTGGCAGCCCCCCTTCTCCCCTTCGACCATTCCGTCAGGACACACACATTTTCCCGCGACGAGATGTTTGCCTTGGGGACAGGTCTGCGGCGGCTGGCAGTCCCCTTGGGGGCCCTCGACCATGCCCTCCGGACAGATACATTTGCCCGCGACGAGGCGTTTGCCTTGGGGGCAGGTCTGCGGCGGCTGGCAGTCCCCCTTGGGGCCCTCGATCATGCCCTCCGGGCAGACACATTTGTTGTCGACTCGCGTCTTCCCACCCGTACACTCCGCGCACTTGCCTGCCGTGTAGATGTTGCCGGTGGGACAGCAGCGGTAATCGCCCTGGCCGGAGGGTCCCGCCAACTCGTGGCCGTCGGCACAGCAGTCCCAGGCGGTTTTGGGGCTCCCCAGCAGGTGCGTGCCGTAGGTGCAGCAAGCAAAGTACTTTTTCGGAGGCAGGTCCAGGATGGAGGGTACCGCGTTGCTGTCTTTGCACTTTTGGGTTGTCTGGCAGGAGAGGGACGGCGGGCAGTCGGCGTCCTCGAAGGTGATGGAGTGGCCCGTGATGTTGGCATTGGGCTTGATCTCGAAGACGATCAATCCCCCATTCGTGTTGGCTTGGAGCGCAAGACCTAAAGCAGTCTGAAGGACCAGCGCCCCGGTGGCCAGGAGAAGATGCATATTCATTGTTCTTCGTGCGCCGAATGAGGAGTCCTGAGAGGGGACAAATCAATGGACAATGATTGAGGGTTAGATTTGCAGTGGAGGTCGACGATCAGTGCTTTGGATGTGAAGCGGCCTTTGTAGCTCTCTGCTCTTTTTCTTCTTCTTGTGACGGTAGGATGTGTTGGCGTATCCTGGTTGGGCCCTAGGGGGGGAGGGGACCGGGGTGGAGTGGGAGGCCTCTCTCCGCGTACAATAGCAGAAATAAAATGTCGTTGACGTCTTGACCTACGTCTCTTTCCCATATGCCTCCAGGTGGGGTGCGTGGCATCGGGCATCCTCGTTCGATGACAGTGGCACCTTACTGGTAGACCTAACTAACCGAAAGACTCGTAGTGGTCATCCCACCCTCACGTTTCCAGTACAAGCCATCTGTTGTCGCATTCAGCTGCCACATTTCATGCTGCATTACACAGCGGTTACTTCGAGACCTTCCGTAAACGGCGGATCTCTTCAGCCCGGCTGTCTCGGACTCACGCACGCACAATGGATTCCCTCAAGACTGGGCCTTCTTCGCAGATTACCGTAATTGACTAGTCGTGGTCCGGGTTGTCAGGGAGTCTTAGGCCCAGTCTCCCTGTCTATACTCGACTGAGTAGGATTTACCCCGGTAGTACCCAGTCCGACACCCCCGGAGTGATACTGTACGGTGCCTTCCCGGCCCCAACTTGAGAACTGAGAGACTGAGGAACTGAAGGTCTACTACTCTGAACTCTTCGATACTCACTGGTGGAAGCAGCGAACGGAGGTCAAGCGCTTTGGCTGCAATCGGTAATTGAACCTGTAGTAGAAGAGAGAGGAGGCCGAAAAAAAAAGACACCATTTCTTCAGAGTACCTTTGTATCAAAATGTATATAGATGTATTCATTTGATGATTTTAGTGATCTTTTCTTGAAATAAAATCTACTTCAATACTGTGAGATCCATCTAATGAAAGATGAACTTGCAAGTGTAATACTTTGATGCTAAAGAGAGCTAATTTGTTGTGGCTCCATACCGGAATCAGAGAATTGTAAATTATCTGTCCCGAGAGGGTACATCACTTTAGAAATCCAGCTTGATTCGAGGGCTTCTAGTAGCTGAACCACTCAGTTGGACCAGAATGCCCTCGGTTCACAGCACAGGATGAAATATCTTTGTGAAAGTGGAATCACCTGCTTTGTGTAGTCGATACAGCTTCATGTAATTCTTGACGTAATAAGATAAAAGTCATGAGTACGAGTCTACTTTGTCACGCTGGATCGCCCTATCCAAGGATTTGATATTATGTCTCTGTAGCTACAGAACTGGTGCTGCTTTCACATTCGTGCCTGTCCAAGACGTGGGCAAACCCCTGTAGACCCGAAATCACTACCCAAATCATCAACAAATTGGAAAGAAGGATAAACCAGTCCAAAAAAAAGCCTGTGATTATCTTTAATGAGCGATGCCGACACTTGAGAATAGAGGAGTTATGGAGCCAAAGACCTAGCGCTAAGGATCTTCGCGGATAGGGGAGCACAAATCAGTTTAAAGGTGGGTCTGGCAAGCTTTAGGCGGGGGAGGTGTGCCGGTGCACATCACTTTGGTCTCGGTCCACGCGTGGTACTGCTGGGGCATATAGCTGGTGTAGGGCAGGAGGGTTGTGGTGCAAGTGTCGCAGACACTCGCGGGGCCCTTCTGGCAGTTCAGGCAATCGTCGCCCTGGGGGTATTGGAAGGTACCCGGCGATGAGCTTGCTGGGGTGTTCGATGCAGCGCTCGGATCGCTGGAAGTTGCACTCTGTCCCTGGACAAGCACAGCCAGCGGGAGAACGAGCATGCTGAGAACGGCTTGGGTCTTCATTTTGATCTAAAGAGAGCCCCCGAGGGGGGGTGAGCTTGTGGGCAAGACACCAATTTTCGTGTCTGGGGTACCAACCTAGGGTTGCGGAATTGGACGGTGACGGTAGGATCTGTTGCAAGGTGGGAATGGAGATTGAGGTGAGGATTGTGGATTGTGGCTCTTGGTGAACTGGAACTGGAACTCGCGAGTCCATGAGGCCAAATAAATAACCTGGATTCGTTGTAGTCGGGATGAGCCGCCGCCGGCATCTATAGACGTCTTGACCTCATCGACTCCGACAACCTCATGGCAAAGAATATGGCGATCATCGTGGCGTCAGGTTTTACTTCTTGACTGACTCTACGCTTGAGAGATTCTCCTGTCTTCGTTCATGGAGGATTTCGAGCTGAGGTCTCCGACTGTGGATCACAAACTCTGTTCGAGTCCAAGACCGTGCATGGATTACGCGTAGTGTTCGGTTGGTATCAAAAGTCTCATCAGAATCACACCGTAGCAACAGTATGGGAAGAGCCAGCGGTCTAACTTCCTAGTCATGACATACATCATCCTTATCACTAGGTTAGCTGTGCCGTAGCGGCCGTCACGGAAGTCCAGGATCGTACACTGTTTTTGGGAAAGTGCATGATGAGGGTAGGCTTCTCTCAAGTGTGAGCCGGAGGTTTCCAGGACCTGCCTCTGGATTCGAAATGAAGTCATTGCTGCATCAGAGCCATCAAGGCTACACCTAGCAGATGGGGACCGAGGGGTCTAGTCTTTCTTTCGTTGCATGCTGAAGAGTCTTGACGTTAATGTCAGTTCAACTCAAAGCATCATCTATCAGCATAGCAGGAACTGTATATAGCTGTGTAGTAGATGATTGTTCCTGAAAAAACAACTCCTGTTCAAACTGCCCTTCGTGAAACGCGCATAATCTAAACCTCAGTTCAATCAGCATTGGGGCACAAGAGAATCGAAGATGCGTCACTTTCCTTTCTCCAATTTGGCACTTTATGCATTCTTCGCCTGTGCGGCCAGCCAAGTTGACCCGGCTCCTTCTTCCTCCTATTCTTCCTGTGCAACTGACCCGACTCTCAAGTCATGCTGCGCTTCGGGGACCGCGAGCGGAACGGTCTGCGTTGATGGCGAGGTCTATACCTATACCTGTGGCAAATGGGCGGGTCGGTATTCAATGCACGAGGGCCTGGCTGGGTCTCAATGCATGCAGGAATGCACCCGCGACCCCCGCTGCTACTGGGCCAGCTGGGACACGACGCTTCAGAACTGTTATCTAGGCGATAAAGATGTCACCACTGGCAGCGATGACACCTATATCCTGCTGCAAAAGAGTGGCCCGGGTCAATGTAGCGATGGCCATGACTGCAAGCACGAGATCGAGCAAGCCAAGGAGGAGTGCAGCAAGCATTGCAAGACTCAAACCGAGCAAATCAAGGAGCAGTGCACCAAAGACTGCCAGGGCCAGATCGAGCAAGCCAAGGAGCAGTGCACCAAGGATTGCAACTCCCAGATCGATCAGGCTGTGGCGCAATGCAATGCGGACAGGTCTGCCTGCACGCAGAGGCTGTCGAACTGCGAGCATGACGGCGCGACCTGCGACAGCCGGTTGAAAGATGCGTTGGCCGAGCGAGACAAGCAGACCGCCGCGCTCCAGCAGGCTCAGGCGGCCACGGACGAGTGCAACCGCAAGCTGACGCAGTGCGAGGCGGAGCCCAAGGGCGACATCACCAAGTGCAATGCAGAAAAGAAAGCCTGCGAGGATGCCAAAGCGCAGCTGCAGAAGGCACTCGACGAGGCGAGGGCTCAGATCCAGATCATCACCACTAGACGAGGCACGCGCATCAAAGATCCTCTGTCCAAGGAGAACCAGGATCTGGTTGAGGCTGTCACGAATGCGCACTTGGATGGGCTCTGCAGGGATAACAGGCTCAATGCAATGACTTTCACCACACTCAATCCCGACAAGACCTGGAATGAGTGGGAGATTCTGTGCAACTATTATTGCGAAACCAAGTCCGTCCAGGACACGCAGAAGAATTGCGACGCGGGCGACAACGTAGTCGCCCACTTGCAGCAGCAGCAGGACAAGTCGGAGTTCTATGGGTTCTGGTGGAGTACTGATGGGAGATGCCTTCCCTTGTTCGCCAGCCCCAATTACGCCTGGCCGGAGTGCTGGCGAAACAGCGAGGCTCAAGTGTCAAGCCCCCGTTACCACCTGGTCCGGAGGATCAAGGCCTTTTACTGAATACTGTGGCTGTAAGAGCTGAAGGTGAATCTTGTGTCAGTTTTGTAGTTCAATGTCAACTTGTATTCGAGCAATTTTCCACTTTAAGAATAGATAGATAGTAAGACGCAAGTCGAACTAGGGCCTACCAGAAACGGTAATGGATCCAAACATCAGAAGATTGCAAGGAATATCGCAACAGAAACTGTCAACAAGGAGCCTGACTCAATGGCAGACGGGACGATCATTTCGAAGAGCTTAGATTTGTAGGTGATGCTTTGGAGCCTTGGGGAGAAGTGGGCGGCAACCATATTATATAGACAAATGAGGCCATCAGGCAGCTCCATGTTGACTCAGACATACTAAGCAGGGTGCAAGTATCACGCGATAACACACAAGCTCGCATGAGGGTGCCTGGACCCGAAGTCATCCAATAAACGTTCGGCCATACAATTCCTCAGGCGTCAATATACCGAGCCCGTCCCAGCAAAAAACACTTAATTATTCAGTTAATTCACAAGAGAATTAGATAAGCACTGCATTTCGTACGGGCATAATACCAAGACATCGGATTTTCCCTCTTTACTTAGTGAATCAGCCCAACAAGCGTCCCATTCCTCGAGCAAAGCGTAAGGCCCGGATTTCCCTCCCAAGGCCCAGAATTCCGACTCTCCAGCCCCTGGCATTCTTAGACTATGCGGATAAAGCACAGCTCGCTTCAGTCAAAGCATACCGCCAATCAAAACAGATACACGGGCGGCTATTAAGCAATAGATAGCCCCAGCGCAGCTGCCACTGCAATGTGCCATCCTCCCAGCACCTGGGACGGAAGTTATTAATATCTCGGCTGTACAAATCGACTCGACAATACATAGCATAGATACTGTACACGACTAGAGTTCCCTTAAGGACAAATACGGGAGAAAAGTCCGTCTTCATCGCCGCCTAAAGGTAGGGTAGTGTCTTTACAAGCTTCGCGCTGGTTACGGGGGATAACAGGGTAAAGATAGAGGGCTAGGATTCTGGGTTAGTACAAAGACTAACTTGTAAAAAACGACAGGTATCTGATAGGGGCTTGTACATATACTCCTTTATACATCACTCCAAATACTTAAGTAAATTAAGTTGCTTGTAGATTGGAGACGGAATCTGCAAGAACTCGACTTCCCATTACAACTGAATAAAGATTCTTGACTGAAGTAAATTTAGCTTTTAAGTAATTCTATACAAACTTTTGTTCTTTTTTTATCTTAAAAAAGAGATCTTCAATCATAAATAATGATAAGAAGTTTAATAAAATTATAATTAGAAATTAATCTTTTTTAGTTTTGGACTTGGAGATGTTATATAAAATTAGAACATTCTAATATTTTCTCAATATTTAAAATATTTATCATGAAATTTAGATTAAGATTGATCCGACTCGTTCTTCGCATGCTCCTTCGAAGACCCTCACCAGAATATCTTCTTGGTACTTGTATCTGGCTCTCGGTATCATCGTCAATCGAGCCTGTCCAGTGCACATTTGGCCGAGTCTTGCATCCGATACATCGAGCATTCAGTAGGCTGGAACTCGACAGCAGGCTGAAACTTGTTATAGGTTCCCTCAGGTCGGAAGAGAGGCTATTCAGCAAGGGAAGAAGTCGACGCGCGTGAATGGTATATATAGAACCGGGACACGATGGGGATACCCCATTTTGCTGATTTTTCTTTTGTCTTTTTTCAAGTTTCAGAAACAATGGAACAGGGTGAAGCAAAAACATACAACGGAGCTCCTCGCCTGGCCTTTCCCATCTCATCGAAAGTTAGTTTCCCGGTGTATATATGAGGTCAACTGTTGTCCGGATAACGTAGCAGATAGTAAGGTTATTGTAGAACCGCAACTGGTCATGACCTGGCTCAGTTGCAATATCTAAATCTGTCACTCATCTAGAGACGCCATAGCAGGGAAAAAGGCCTCTACACTCGATACAGAACAGATAAAAAGCTGTTCGAGGGCTTGATGTCAGTAGCCACGAGATTCCTGCACCAAGCATCACCCAACCTATTTCCGAGGACTCCGTCCGAAGACAACCTGCACAAACCCACCGCCGCCATCAAGCCGCCTCCTCCGCCAACGCCTCCGTCCTCGACCGGCTCTTCGGATCCAAATACGGCGCCTCGCCAATACCCACGGCACGATGCCCGAACCGCTCCCCAAGCCCCTCGTAATCAAATGTCGCCGTATGGAACACACTCCGATTATCCCAGATCGCTGCCGACACATTAGCCCAACCCTCCTACCCGAAGCAAAAGCCGCAAACTCACCAATATCATTCGCATTCCTCCACTTCAACCGCACCTGCAAATCATGATTCTCGGCGACGACCCGCCTAAATTTGCCCAACACCTCCTCCGACTCCTCCCCTGTCAACTCATTGATCACCTTGGGAAACGGCCCAATCGCAAAGACACTCTTCCACCCGGTCACCGGATTCGTGCGGACGACTGGATGCACGGCCGTCAGCCCCTTGCCCACATTCAACGGACTGCCGCGCGCCTCCGTGTAGATGCGCACCTCCTCCGGATTCCGCTCCGCGGCTTTCAGGAACCCGTCCCCGGAGAACGTCGCCGTCAGCCCCTCCAGGAACGCGCGGTACTTCGGCGAGAGCCGGTCGTAGATCTCGTAGCCGGAGGCCCAGAGGGTGTCGCCCCCGGTGCGGGGCAGCTGCGTCAGCCGCAGGGAGGTGTAGTCGGCCGGGGCGGCTTCGAACTGGATGTCCGAGTGCCACTGGGCGGAGTCGTATTTGCGGCGGTTGAGGGCGTGGCTGGGGCCGAAAAGCTTCTTGCGCGCCAGTGAGCTGATCGTGCTGATTTCGGCGTCGCCCACGCCGAACTCGTTCGTGTTGTTGAGCACCGGGTGGATGTGGAGGGTCGAGGTGGCGGGTTTGCCGCTCAGTTCGCCGAGGCGTTGGACCAGGTGTTTTTGGAGGGCGTCGGTGAGGTTATCCTGCGCCTGGAAGAAGACGACGCCGCGCTGGGAGACTGGGCTTGTTAGTTGGGTGGAGTGGAAGGGAAGAGAGAGGGGCGGGAGTTAGGGTTGTTGTGGGGTAGGTAGTGTGCGTACTGGTGATGGCCAGGTCGCGGACCAATTCGTCCGCGTTCGGAGCATTCAGCAGGTCATCGACGATGTTGACGGTCGGATACTCGCGTCCGATCACGGGGGTGGTTTCTTCATACTCGTACTTGTCCAAGGCGCCGCTGACCTTGAGGGGCTTGGGGTATTGTCTTTCCGCGTCGGGGTGCGGGTGGATGGGGATGGGCGTTTCGTTGATCCCGGGAGCCATGGTGAAGGTCCGAGCAAGGAATTGGTACGATTGATTCAATCTGGTAGATGATGGAGGGGTGGTGACAATCGTCTTTTCCGTCTATTTAAATCACTACAAAGCCATGTCTTGCCAGGCGAGTCAGTCAACACATCCCACCTTATCCCGGACGTATCACGCAATCCGCGAAGCATGTTATGCAACCACCAACCAACAATGCATCAGCACTCCGGCACTTGATGTACCCCGCATGTCGCCTTATGGCGCAATATGCCATCTTATCAAGTTTCAATCCGTAAGTC